CTCTCTCAGGCTGTCTCTCTCTGTGGTCATGCGGTTGAGGTCTGTTGTGGCCTCGTCCCGTTCGGCCTCCACTCGCTTCAGGATGCTCTGAGGGGTCACGCTGCTCTTGGGCCCTCGCGCTGCCTTTGACTTCATCACCTCCCGCCGTAGAGCTGCTATCTCCTCTTGAGCCTGCAGGGGGAGTTAGTGGGATCATGAGTGAGATACTGGATATACAATTGGGGAGTGCTTTCTTTCTGTGTTAGAAAGAATATTATGAGTGAAAATATGTTGTTTCCAAAATAGTTTTTTTTATTGTATATTGTCATTGTAGTGAAGTCAAAACAAATTGTTAAAATATACTGTATATCTGGCAAATAATATCCCCAATATTACAACTATACATATAATGTGTATTTATATATTATATACAGTATATATATGTCAAAACAAATTGTTAAATATACTATATATATATATATATATAACATATACATTTTTACAATAATTGAATCAAACTAAATTTGATGCATGTGCTAAAAATATTGCTCTAAAATATGAAATGAATATTGTTTTAATAATTTAATATTATAAATAATATAAAATTAAATAATTGTTTGTACAGTGTATTGTTATTGTAGTAAAGCCAAAACAAATTATCATAATATTATCTGGCAAATTATATATATATATATATATATACACACTGTAAAACTAATTTGATGCATTTGCAAGAAAAAATGTCAAGTAATACTACTATTATACTATATGCTATATATATATATATATATATATATACACAGTATATATATATATATATATATACTATATATGTGTGTGTGTGTGTGTGTGTATATATATATATATATATAATTTGATCAAAACAAATTTGATACATGTGCTAAAAAGTATAGCGCTGTACGAATATTGTTAAATTAATTAATTTAATATTTTAATCAGTATAAAAATTATTAATTGTTTTTGCTCTGTAGTGAAGCCAAAACAAATTATTAAAATATTGTAATACTAATAATGACTATTATGCTGCTAATAAATATATAATAAATATACTGAAAAAATAACATTGATGTAAAATCTTTTACTGTCTATACCTCAGTGACATCATTTAAAGTTAGAAACATAGTGTCATGATTCTGCCCTCGTGTCCTTGATTTTCTCTAGTCTTGAGGCAGGATCATGACAGAATCATGTTTTGTGTGCAAGCACATGGTCTTGTGTTTTGAGCCATGTGCTTGTGTTGTCTCGTTACGTTACCCCGCCCCCGTGTTATCCTCGTCTCGTCATTATTGTCTAGTCAGCTTCACCTGTCTTTGTCATTAGTGTTCCCCTATTTCATCCCCTTGTGTTTGCTGTCCTGTGTCGGTACATTGTCAAACATTGTGAGTTATTCTTTGTGAGTATTTTGTCTGAAACCTGTTTATTGAGAATTGTGAGTTTGTTTCCTGTCAAGTCAGAGTCTTCGTTTGTCATCGTGTCTTAGTTTACCTCCAGTCCTGTTTTGCCCCATCGTGGGTTTTGTTTTCTGTTTTGCCTTCATTAAACCCCTTTTGAGTTATTTGCAGTCTGCTTTTGGGTTCGTCTATCCTGCAACTTCATGACAGAATGTACCGACCATAACTAGCTAACAGAAGAACGGGCCAAGAGTATGTTAGGACGTTCGTTTGAGGGAACCCGTCTGGCCATATTTCGTGGGACCCGTGGAGGCCGCAGTAGGGGCGGTGGTCGTTATGAGTCATCGTCTTCACCTTCTGCTCGACTGCCGGTTATCCCTGAGGGTCTCCGGATAGGGGTCGCGATGTTTGGAAGCCCGGTGGACTCTTCCATGACTCCTAGAGCTCCGTCCACCCCTTTTGATCTTCGTGGTAAACGAGGAAGACGGCTGTCGTGGGAGTCGGCGTCAGAGTCCTCCTCCGCAGAGCCTGCTGTACCTGCGGTGGTTTCCGCTGAGCTTCCCCAACCCGTCTCAGCTTCTCGACCTAGGAGGAAGAGGGGAGCCTCCCGTTCTTCGCCCGCTGCAGTAGACACAGAGCCCGCTGCAGTAGACACAGAGCCCGCTGCAGTAGACACAGAGCCCGCTGCAGTCACAGAGCCCGCCGCTGTGAAGGCGGTCCCAGCACCCGCTGCTGAGAGAACAGTTCCTGAGCTAACTTCTGAGAGAGCTGTTTCCGAGCTCGCTGCTCCAGCTCCTGAGAGTACTGCACAGGAGAGCGCTTCCGAGTTTAATATGAGCACTACATCTGAGTCTGAGTCGATTACTTCTCACCCTGTCTCCTGTCCTGTCTCCTGTCCCGCTTCTCCACGTGTCACCCTGTCTCAGTCTAGTTCCCCTATGGCTTCTCCTCGAGTGCCTCCACCCAAGTCCGCCCGGAATCCTCGTCCCAAGCCCTCATCCCGTGGACCTAAGACCCCCAGCACACCCATCCACCCTGGACCACCCCCCATGAACTCTGTGCTTCCTCCGCCACCTCTTCCTTGTTTATTATTTTTAATGTTTCATCCTAACCCTGTTGTTGTGTTTTCGTGTTTGCCGTTACTGTTATTTGTCATGTTTTGTTGGTTTGTGTCGATGTCTCAGTCTGTCATGTCCCGTGTTTGATGTCCCCTTGAGGAGCGTCTGGTAGCCGCTCCTTAAGGTGGGGGTTCTGTCATGATTCTGCCCTCGTGTCCTTGATTTTCTCTAGTCTTGAGGCAGGATCATGACAGAATCATGTTTTGTGTGCAAGCACATGGTCTTGTGTTTTGAGCCATGTGCTTGTGTTGTTACGTTACCCCGCCCCCTTGTTATCCTCGTCTCGTCATTATTGTCTAGTCAGCTTCACCTGTCTTTGTCATTAGTGTTCCCCTATTTCATCCCCTTGTGTTTGCTGTCCTGTGCCGGTTCATTGTGTCACACTTTGTGAGAGTCTACCTGTGAGTACCTTGTCTTTGGAGAACGTCTTGATCTTGTATTTGCTGTTTTATAGTCTAGTGTTTGTCTAGTGTTATCTAGTTTAGTTATCCCTCGTTTGTATTGCCTCTGTTTTGCCCCCTCGTGGGCTTTATTTTCCCCTGTTTTTCTGTTATAATAAACGTTGTGTAATTGTCTACCGTCTGCGCTTGGGTTCTTCTGCTATCATCATAACACATAGTTACATAATTTAAGTTAAACATCCGCCACTAAGAATCATCTATGTGGTTTTCATTGTTTTATAATACGTGTGTGTGTGTCATGGCCAATTTGAGCACATCAACCTGATTCAAGAATTCTGGGAAGTTTGGAGTTGTGTACCTGCTGGTAGTGCATTCTGGTCTTGTCCCGTTCGGCTGTGAGCACTTTAATATTGGCCTGGATCTCTGAAAGATGCCGCTCGTGTTTCTCCAACATGTTTTGTAGTTCATCTCTTTCCCGCAACACCCTCATTAGCTCTGAATCATACGTGCCACCCTTTAAAGGAGAGAGAGAGAGTTTCTTTTAGCATTAAAATAAACTAATCACTAATATTACAGCAGTGATGGATTATTAGTACTTTAACAGGAGAGTGTCTGGTGGGACTGCGACGGGTAGATGCCCCTTTGACGGGGCTGGTAGAGCGACGGGCCCTCAGCATCCTTCCCACTGCCTCGGCCCTCCTTAGCTGGATCAGAAGTTTAAGAAACAAAGAAATAATATTTCAACAGGAGAGGTGCATTTGGAGAGCATTAATTTAAAACATTAGTCTTTCATTGCTGGCCTAAAGCAACATCTCAACATCATGTTCTTAGTTCACTTCAGTCTCTCTGATCCAGTTTTGACTATTTCTGGCGCCACCTGATGGGACTACATTGTTACTACAACATATAAACATGAAAATTCCAATACAACAAAGTAAAAATAGCATACATTTAGAATCCTATGCCTCACAAATGATTTTCAGTAAATTTAATGTTTTACCAGTCATTCGTTTATTCGTTTATAATTTGGTTCCTGGCTGTATATGAATACATTTTATTTACTTAAACTTCACAAAGAAACACAAACATTTCGATGGAGATTGAAAGCTATTACATCTCAATAGAGCTTATTCAGACTTACAAAAAGAAAGTTTTCTCAAGCAAAACTGATCAAATTAAACTACAACGAGGTTGGCATGGCAACTGAGATACTACGGGTGCACGTCACTGAAAATGCGTCTCGTGCAACAATAAAACATAAGTATGGTGTATTTAAGTATTTTATTATTTACTGATAATAGTTGAAAACTTCAACATGCACTAAAAGTAGTATGTTTTGCATTGACACCAATGTTATACTGGCACACAAATCATTCATACGTAAAAGTTACAGTAAATATGAACCTCGCTCTATAAAACCTGCAAATAGATTCTGCATTCAATAAAGACAATGCAGAAGACAACGTATTAGTTGTGTAAGTGAGCTCGTGTTACCTCTTGTAGTGGTTCTGGCAAATAAAAACGAGTGAGTTAAATTAAATCTCAACACGCTAAAGCTCTTTACCCCGAGGGATAAAACAGTCACACTGACCAATCACGGCACAGCATTCAACTGTCAGTCAAGACAACAGAGAGGCGACGACCAATCAGAAGACTAGATCTGCCTCCGTTTGCGTCCGTTGCCTTGACTACAAGTTGTGAACGCTCACGTTCAAACTACAAAAGTAGTTTTGAAGTTGAGATAAAGCAATGAAGCGGAGCTAGGCTAAATAGATATAAAATCAAATAAATAAATAAATAAATATCTTGCTAATATAAAATATAAATATGATGTTTCAAATGGTTCACGAATAAAAACATACATTGTAAATATTTATATATATTTTACATTCTATGAATTGATAAACTCGGCATATAACGTGAACATTATAGTCACATCATGTATTTGCAGACTTATAGTATGTAATTTAACGCTGAGAAATCTGTGTTTACATCATCCACGACGGCAGGCGACAGTAAAGCGCAGGCGAAGAACGCGTGAACCAGGAGAAGAACGCGCCGCTCCTCGTGAACGCGCACAGCGACAACAAATCCGCTAGATTAGAGGAGGCGCGCGGATCACGCACACGCAGGAGGTGCATAGTTTCTTCAAACAAAAACTATTGTGCCTTTTATCATGCGTTTGGAGCAGTTTCGCTATTAATCAAGGACCGGAGGATGTGCGATCTATAGAACTGGATATGTAAACATTTTGTAAGCCTCTTGTCAGACTTTATTTAAAGAAAAAAAGAAAAAAAAAGATGTTTTTACGGATTAGATCCATGAAACTCCGAAGAACAACACAACCTCATGACTAAGACAGAGCTAGACGGAGGATTTCTTCAACTCGAGATCGCCTCACACTATTGCACACCGTAGATTTTAATGATTTATTTTTATTTTGAAAATATGATTCACTTGACCTCCAAGAATAGCTAGAATCAAGACTCAGTTTTTCTTTGTCTGAGCATTATTGCATTGACATGATGATCCCTATATGACTGCTAGTTATATCAAGTTCTTCAATTATCCAGTGCAAAGACAAACATGTCAACACTCAGACTATTTCCTAATTAGACAAGAGATTGAACAATGGGAATGCAATAAGAATTGCATTGCTTTACGCCTGTTAAGACATTAATTGAAAGAAATCCTTTGTCAACCAACCAGAGAGAAGCGCGTGTGGGATCTGACTATGTCCTTCTTTAATTTCCGAAAAATCTTTAAATTGGGCGCAGAGAAGAAGAAAAAACAATATGAGCACGTGCACAGGGACACAAATCCGGAGGAAATATGGGAGATTGTGGGAGAACTGGGGGATGGAGCCTTTGGAAAGGTGTTCAAGGTAAAATAAACACATTGAAATTGTCTGATCTTATCTTGCTGCAAAAGTTTATATGGTATTATTATACTATTATTATTATATGGTATTATTATTTGCCTTAGTACTTTCTTATAATGGAATATATCTATCGGTCTGTCTGTCTGTCTGTGTATGTCTAATATCTGTCTGTCTGTCTGTATATATATGTCTAATATATGTCTGTCTAATATCTGTCTGTTTATCTATCTGTCTGTTCAATCTTGTACACAAATTAAAATGCAAAACGTTTCTGAACTCTTTAAGGTCACCACGCACATGACATCATCAAGCACACACCCCTGTCATTGGCTAATTCCAAAATCGCCCCCTAAACCCTTTAATCACTATTCCCTGTGTTAGTCCATTAATACGGTTTACTTGAAGTGAATGAAAACGAGTGAGCGAATTCGGACAGCTGTTGAGTGTACATCGGCTGTACACTTATTGTTGCAATGCAATGTGGGATTGATTGAGTGCACTCAATAATGTCCACTATGGTTTCGGACACCACTACAAATGGTTGTCCCATCAAATAATGCCCTATTTGGGGGCATAGCGGGTGATTTTGGATTCAGCCATTGTCATTCACATGACCTCGGCCTGTAGTGTCCAGTCTGCTTGATTATTCCACTTCTTTGCTCTGTCTAAAGGCTTAATGTTGCTTAGTTTGTTAGTGGGATAGGGTGATTTGGAGATTAAGTTTAAGGCCATTTCCTCTATACAGTCAAAACAATGACATTAGAACTTTCTCATGGTTTCAGCAAGTTTGATGGTTTGGAAATGGTCTAATGATCTGTTGGGTTTTCAAGACATTGGTATTTGATTTTCATCACAGTTTGGCTTTGTGTTCTGTCGGGAGCTTCTATGAGCACTGAACAGAATTACAAAATAATGACTGTTTTCAAGCATGTTTCCTGTGGCTGTAATCATTCGAGTACTCTTAAAAACTGTCTGACTTTTCTTAACATAATATTTGCTTAAATTATAAACACTTTTTATTAGAATTTATACTAATTTTGTGTAGTTGTATTAATTAACATTGTATTTTTATTTTATTTGTAAGGCTAATCGGTAACACTTTATTTAAACATTACATGTACTTACTATAGTTATAACAGTAAATTGTGCATAATTACATGTAACTAACCCTAACCGTAACTCTAACGTAAGTACATGTAGTTAATTAATAGTAAAATGTAAAGTGCAATGCAACTGTCACCTTAAAATAAAGGGTTACACTTTAAGGTGTCCGTGTCACAGTGTAATTGTACATTTGAGTGCTGAGTAATACTTACAATAGGGTTAGTAGGAATAGAGGTTGGTTACTTGTAATTATTATGCATAATTTATAGTTATTACTACAGTAACTCTACATGTAACAAGGACACTGTAAAATAAAGTGTTACAAAACAAAGTGTAACCTAATGATTTTATTTAAATCTAAGCTAAAAGTTTTCAAATGAAAAGTTTGAATTATAAAATGTCAAATACAACTGGAACCGCATCACACTTAGTGACCAAATACAATAAAAACCACTGCAGATTTTATTATTCCAGATTGTCCTGCAATAAACCAGCAGTCTTTGACCTGGTTAATTTTTCACTTCTGAATCACGCTGGATTCTAAATACCGTAATTACCGCCGTTTACAAAAGCTGTGTGTTGGGTGGAATTGTTCTGTGACCTTCGGTGCTCTCTTTTTATTCTTATCACTAACAACATGTTAGCCAAAGTGTCTGCCAACCAGTCTTGCTTTGTTGAAAGTTATAGCATGGGTACCCTAAAATGATTCATTAGACTCATTTTATTTACTGTGTAAATGCATTTATTTATTTATTTTTACTTTAATTTCCTTTTTATTCAGGCTCAGAACAAGCAGACAGGCATTTGTGCCGCTGCAAAAGTGATTGACACCAAAACTGAAGATGAGCTGGAGGACTACATGGTGGAGATCGACATCTTGGCGTCATGTGATCATCACAATATCGTCAAGCTGCTCGACGCGTTTTACTATGAGACCAAACTGTGGGTGAGTGGATTTAGTTTCATTTTTCATGGTTTTATATGTTTACTTTGTACACAGATTTTATTCCTATTCTCTTTTCCACAGCACAATTTTGGAATCTGACTTTAAAAAAAAATATTTGACTTGTTTAATTATGTTAATATGCCTCATAATTCACCCTTCGCTGGGAGTTTAATTGACGGGCTATCTGACTAATCATATCGCCGAATCCACAATTTTGTCTGACAAACGAACCAGACAGGAGAGTTGGTAGATTAATGTCGGTGGAATTAAAAAACGGTGTGTATTGATGTCTTCCCGCTGTTGAAACATACTTTCTGATGATCATTCATGTTTATTTGGTGCTAATGAGTAGGAAGAGATTATCGGTTCACGTGCCGCTTGAACTGTGGCACTACAGCGATCTGTCACAACACATTAAAGAGTCACAAAACGGTATTTATTGATTTATTTGAGTTTTTTTAATTACAACATTTGAAACTTTGTTTCATACCAAAAGTAACCTGCTTTGTCTTGTCTGTTGGCGTGTTGTCAGTGTCCTCTTTTTGCTCCACAATGTATTTTTCACTGCGTTGACTCAAACCATTTCCTTCCTGCACAAGGTTGAGGTGGACTCAGCTACCAGGTCACTTCAGTCCAGCTTCACTTTAGTACGGACATTAGAAACTTACGAGAGGTTCTTCAAATCCTAGAGGCTTTATGAAATTCAAACAGTACATGACGCTCTTTTATATTTCACATTAAATTAGAAAGACAAAAAATAGAAGGAATTTTACAATCCCAGTAATGCGCCCGGACATTTTTTTTGTTGTTGTTATAATTTTTCGGGGATTAATCCATATTTATTCTGAAAGGTGATTCTCATTGCTTGAGGAGTACAACTTTTTTTACTGTATTGTTGTAATAAAGTTATTTTATTTCAAATTTAAATCATTATAAATGTAGGGCTGTACAAAAACACAACCAGGATGTACAGAATGTATACACTACCATTCAAAAGTTTTATTTGTATTTTTTTTGTCTCATGCTCCACTTTTTTTTTCCATCAAAAATACAGTAATAGAAAGTCCAAATGAACAGCATTTATTTGAAAAATCTACATTTTGTAACATAAATGTCTTTACTGTCACATTTGATCCATTTAATGCATCCTTGCTTAATAAAATTATAAATTTGTTTCAAAAACTTGTTTATTTACTGACCTCAAACTTTTGAACAGCAATGTACTTAAACTATAATTAAAATATTTTTTTTAGTGCTTATTTGTCAATGTCATACTGCAATGAAATGTTTGTCATATCAGGCCCGTTTTAGGCAAAATATGGTTTATCATTTTTTCCTCCCTTGATTTTGAAATGAATATGACCTAAACATGTTCTTGAAAGTTTTTTTGAGATTAACCAGAAAACCTCTCATCAGAATAATGTCGCATTTTCTCACAGAGAGAACAGAGTTATTTTACCTCTTCTGTTATCTTCTTCTGTCTCATTGTGTACTGTACTGGAAGAGGTGTCCATATTTTACTCTTATCCTGCCATACACCAGGAAATGGACTGATATCGGCCTCACCCATTTCCTTATGTAGATGTAGGAGCGCTTTCATTTGGCTGTGATTCAGGGAATGTTTGAACTGGATTATTCATCAGCCATTTGCAGCTTAAACAGGATAAATAACACATTGGTATCAATAATGTCATTTAGTAGTCCGTGTGAAGTAGTTTCCTCCATGTATTTGTAGAAAAGCTTAGATAACTTAAGTTTCAGATGCCATTTACTTTAATATTTTGCAATATGCATTGCATTCAGACAGTTTTAAAGTTTGTCCAAAACACTTATTAAGGCTTCTATATGGAATATATGAGGATTAATAGTGCATTGTGTTATCCAGACAGTGGGATCAATGGAAATAGACAGAATCCTACACTTTAGAGTTGGAAAGGAAGTCTCATCTTGTGCGTTGTTGAGCTTGGCCATTGTAGTTCTGGGACTGAATGACGGCACTGTGTGGGCTATTGTGTTATCATGGCCACCGGTCAATACCAACATCTCACCCACTGTACAACAGCGTTCAAGAGCATGAATAACAGTGACTGTTCTCAGTGCTGTGTCTGTGTGTACACAATAGCGTAGGGTTCAGACTTTAAAGGCCTGTTCACACCAAGGACGATAACGATAGAGATGTAGTTCTAAAAATCTTTCTGAATATAAAAGAACAGCAGAGTTCACACCACAACTATAACAATAACGGCACAGAGAAACAATATCATTGGAATCACTTTCAGAATGATTTTTTTTTTTCAGCTGATGAACAATAAAAACATTGACAGCCAATCAGAATCCGTCCTGCTTTAAGAACTCGAGCATTTAAAGGGATACTCCACTTTTTTTTGTGGAAATAGGCTCATTTTACAACTCCCCCAGAGTTAAACTGTTGAGTTTTACCGTTTTTGAATCCATTCAGCCGATCTCCGGTTCTGGCGGTACCACTTTTAGCATAGCTTAGCATACATCATTGAAGTGGACAAGACCATTAGCATTTCTAAAAAAAAAAAAATGACCAAAGAGTTTAGATATTTTTCCTATTTAAAACTTGACTCTTCTGTAGTTACATCGTCCACTAAGACCGACGGAAAATGTAAAGTTGCGATTTTCTAGGCTGATATGGCTAGGAACTATACTCTCATTCCTGCGTAGTAATCAAGAAACTTTACTGCCGTACCATGAGAGCAGCAGGCGTAATGATATGACGCAGCGCCTGAAAATAGTTCTGTTGTGTTGGCGGAAGGTGGCCTATTTTCAGTTCCTAGCCATATCAGCCTAGAAAATCGCAACTTTACATTTTCCGTCGGTGTTAGTGCACGATGTAACTACAGAAGAGTCAAGTTTTAAATAGTAAAAATATCCAAACTCTTTGGTCATTTTTTTTTTTTTTAGAAATGCTAATGGTCTTGTCCACTTCAATGATGTATGCTAAGCTATGCTAAAAGTGGTACCGCCAGAACCGGAGATCGGCTGAATGGATTCAAAAACGGTAAAACTAAAAAGTAATCCATATGTCTCCAGGGGGTTAATAAAGGCCTTCTGAAGAGAAGCCATGGGTTTTTGTGTGGAAAAATATCCATATTTATAACTTCATAAACTATACTCAAAGGCTTCTGGTAATGGCCGTACACAAGTCCAGTTCTGATGGAAGAAGTGCTCAGGAAATATTTCTTAGAATTAGCAATGTTGAAAACAGTTGTGTGGAAAAATATCCATATTTTTTGGATGCAAACATTGCCATATGTTTGTGGCAACCGTGATTTTTTTTTTTAGATTTTTTTTTTAGGATTCTTTGATGAATAGAAAGTACAAATGAACAGCATTTATTTAAAATGGAAATATTATGTATTATCAATGTCTTTACTGTCACTTTAGATCACTTTAGAAAATATCCTTGCTGAATAAAATAATTAATATAATTCAAACTAAAAAAATCAGTTTAGTTTATTTTAAACAGTGGTGTATTAAATTTCAGCACCTCTTTTTGTCTCTCAAGTTCTCTCGCCTAAAATATAATCTAGTATTTGTGGCGGCACTCCTGACTACAGGAAACGCTATTGTCGTTCAGTGTTGACTATGTAAACAGTCTCTTCAACACACGTCCACCCTCTCCAGATGACTAGCCCCGGCCGTGACCCCTCCATCCGCCTGGTGTTCACGGAAACTCTAATCCTATTAGCACAGAAAGTACTCAATTCCGACACTGTGCTAATGTGTAGAAAGCCTTCATCCTTCCTCGTGCTCATACAGGCCTCTCTAGCTCGATCCTCTTATGTCAGTCACCATTTTGAGGAGCTAGAAAAGACTTCTTGACCAATCATGGCCCTACAACGCAGCGCCGTTGACTAATCACGGTCCTGCCAAGTGAATTGTTTTGTAAAGTTAATAATGTGGGCAGTATTTCCTGGTTTGGATGTTGTTGTACTGTAATTCTGGTTTTATCCATCGATGTGCAACTGTGTTTGTGGAGTTCTGCTCTAAAACTGAATGAGTGTTCTAGATTGTTTTGAGTGAGTTGAATGAACAGTGGTTTTATGAATGAGCGCAGACTGTTTTTTGTTTTTTTTAAACCAGTGCCTGCAGGTTCATGTAGGTGTGTTTATAACAATAGGATAAACAGATTCGTCTACAGAAACATAATGCCGCCATTGTGCCTGACTGAACATTGAGAAATAAAGGCAGTATATGCCAATCAATGGCTGCTTTTGTAAAACAGTGTGATTGTGTTTTTGTAAAGTTCACCCAGTTTCATGTTCACCATGTTTGTGTGTGCAGATCCTGATCGAGTTCTGCGCCGGCGGGGCCGTCGATGCGGTCATGCTCGGTGAGTTGTTCACACAAAGCATTTGTCATGCAAGGCTGCATTAGGAAAAGGTCACTTACGACGGACAGTTGCTTTCCATTACTCACAAACACATTTCATTCTTAAAGGCGAAGGTGAACTTTAACTGTGCTTTGATTATTCTCACGGGGAAATCAATATTGGTCATGTTATGAGCGACAATATATAGATCTATACAATGTCTCTTAAAAAAAAAGGTGTTTTGTAGCATTATGCCTGGTGAGTCTTCATTTACATACTAGTGTTCAAATGTTTAGGGTCAGTAAAGCCCCGTTCACACCGCCAGCGACACGCAGCGACAAAGCGACATGATCCCATTCATTTCAATGGAGCGCTGGCGACATCCGGCGACACGAGCGACAGCGACCGTTGGCGACAGAATGTGGGCGTGTCAAGCGACAAGAGACAAGCGACAAAAGTTGAGAAATTTCAACTTTATGCAAATGTGAAGCGATTTTCGCGAGCGACAACCAATAGGAAAGTAGACTTTCAGTGGAGCTCACGTCACCGTCTCGAGTGCAGGCAAGACAGAGGAGTTCGAGGGAGATTTCACTGTTTATATGATTTGACTGTAACCACATACATGGATATAATAAAATGAGAAATGGAAAAGAAACTGTCGACAGTCTCAGTGAGTTTAATTCATACATTTAAAGTTCGAGTGTTGTAATTTTGTGATGCAAGTTTAGCACTGCTGCGGTTCATTTTACAGTTTCCCCTGCATTATGTTAACTATTAGGGACAAGAAAATTGATTATTTGTCAAATTCCAATGACGTTTTAGTAATTTATGACGGAATGAGTGAGTTTAATTTGTTGATTCATCGATCGTTAATCTTGTAAATGATTTAATCCACTGAACACTGCTGTGGTAATATAAAAACACTCTCCCAACAGCATACTGTTTCTTTTGAGCCTAATTCCTAGTCAAATTAAAATGATATTGTTGTATATATATCACTTCTGGTGGTATTTTGTATAGATATGGCCAGGCGTGCAGTCAACCAATAACATTAGAGCGACAGCACTACGAACTCCCACAAGCGACTTCACAGTACAGAGACTAGCGACATGTAGCGACAAAATCGCTGGCGGTGTGAACGGGGCTTAAGACTTAAAGGTGCTCTACGTAACTTTTAGCGGCCTCTAGTGGTGATATTTCAGATTTTCCAGTGGTGATATAAACCAAATTTTACAAGAGCGCTCGTGCTCAAACTCATAGACAATACCGTCTATTACGCAAATATCTCGGCGAATACTAGACGGATTCGGCGAGCACCGAGCTCGTTGGGACCATCTAGTCGAGCTGAAAAGAACCATATAAGTTCCATAGTTTTTGGTGGTGTTTTCGCGGAGATATTAGCAGAAAACCATCGGGCGCGCTGCAAAATTGCGGACGCCGGTGACGTCACGATCTCAGAAGAAAATCGCTCGTATCTCTGGAACACAAAGACCCAGAGAGCTTAAATTCGGGGGAGGAGGTCCCAGGGGAACCCTTGCCCGAACGCTAGAGTGGCGGGCCTCGGGGATGCCCCCTACCGGATCGCCGTTCGCTGGGACCCCCGATTTCGAACGGCTATAACTCGGGGAGCCGGGCGAGTTGGACCTCGGGGGTGGGCTCGTTCGAAAGGCCCCGTCCAGCACTATGAACGACTAGAGTCTTGGGAATATTGATCAAAGATTGACTGAGATATAAGCCGAAAAACGTGCGCCTTTAACCGGAGTAACTCCCTGACCGTCTACAATAGACTGTATATAAGGAGAGAGGCTCGGGACCGCGCATGCACGTCACATCCGTTGGATTTCGCGGTAAATCCGACCCGGAGACTTCACATAGAAATAGGAATACTGGCCTTCAGAGGTAATAACAAAACCCGACAAGTGGATCATTGTAATGTGTGATTGCAACCCCTTCACACACAGGCAATAAAAAAAGGATTAATTTTAGAAGGAAAGTTCCATATAGCACCTTTAAAAAAAAAACAATTTAATAATTTTTTTTTTAAGCAAGGATGCATTAAATTGTATAAAATTGACTGTAAAGACACTTGCGTTACAAAAGATTTTTATTTGAACTTTCTATTTATCGAAGAATCCTGAAAAAAAATTTATCAAGGTTTCCACAAAAATATTAGGCAGCACAACTGTTTTTTAACACTGATTATAAATGGAAATGTTTCTTGAGCATCTGCATATTAGAATGATTTCTGAAGGATCATGTGACACTGAAGACTGGAGGAATGATGCTGAAAATTCAGCTTTGATCTCAGGAATAAATCACATTTTCAAGTATATTCAACTAGAAAAAATATTTCACAATAGTACTGTTTTTACTCTATTTTTAATCAAAGAAATGCAGCATTGGTAAGGACTTTTTTTCAAACACCAAACTATTGAACAGTAGTGTAAGCCAAAATCTACATTAATATTCTTTAAAAATTTTGTTGATAATGCTTGTGCAGTATATCACAATATACACATTTTATTGAAACGCCATTTATATATAATGGCCATTAATATGTCAATTTTTTAAGGAATGGTAGACCTATCACATTGAAAGTTTTTTTTTTTTTACAGCCATAAACATTGCAGATTTTCAGCCTGAACTATGAAGCTTTTTTCATTTTAGAAAAAAAAAATGGGCCACTAGGGCTGGGACAACGCGTCGACGTCATCGATGAAGTCGACGCAAAAAATACGTCGACGCAAAATATGCGCGTCGATTCGTCAGACCCAAAACAAAGATGGCGGCACCGGAGAGTAGTAGCTGACTGGATTGTTGACTATACTGCGCGCATAACATACATAGCGCACGCACATCTAGAGGGAGAGAGCGAGAGACACGCAAGGTCTCTCTCTGCCATGCGCGCAGTATGTTCTGTCTCACATGCGCGCTCTAGATTCTGGGAGATTTGAACTAATTTGCGGCCATCAGGGAGACGCTATCAATATGCGGGGGACTCCCGGAAGCGATATTTTTTTTCACAGGATGGTAGGGGAAGACTCATGAATATTCATTAGGGAACTCATCCCTGATTGGTCTTAACCCCAGTGACGGGTAGGTTTAGGGGCGGGGTTAGGGGTAAGTCATCAGACCCCCAGTGACGGGTAGGTTTAGGGGCGGGGTTAGGGGTAGGTCATCAGACCAATCAGGGATGAGTTCCCTAATGAATATTCATGAGTCTTCCCCAACCATCCTGTGAAAAAAAAGATCGCCTCCCGGAACTACCGGGAGACTTGGGATGTCTGATTGCGGGGGGTTTTTTCCCCCGGCGTGCATGTTAATCAATGAGTGCATTCACACCGGGAGCAGGAGCAGCGCGTCAGCAACAGTGAAGCGCGGGTTTCGGCGCAGAGTCTTTGCTGCTGCTCACGCTCAATTAAAGTGAAAGCACACTTTTGATGGACAGAATAAATATGATTTAACCCAAAAAGTGCAGAAAATGCACATAATTTGCATGTCTGGTGTGTTTTAACAAGAACTGGAGTAGGGTATGTATGTCAGAAAAGAAAATGAAGACTCAAAAATATTTATATAATTTTTTTTTATTGAATGCTAGACATCAAGTTATTATTTTCATCTTAAAGAAGAATTACAAGATGCACTTTTTTCAGTAAGCTAGGCCTATGTGTTTTCAAGGCTTCAAAGTTTTATTGAATGCTACCTCTGACTAATTTGCACTTGTATAGTCTTTTATTTTGGAATTTTAAGAGCAATAAACATATATTGCAATGTTAAAGGAGTAGTTCACTTTTTCATCAAAATGAACAAATCTTTTTCCGAGTCAATTCGTTCATTTCGGTCGTTAAATGAATCAAATGACTCGAAAAAAGATTTGTTCATTTTGATGAACGAGTTCGAACAGGAGAGTCATACAGAACAGAGAAAGGCGAGCATGTGAGCTTATAAAACTTAAACGTTGTTATTTATTTTTTAAATGAGCGATCGTTTCGCATGATAAGACCCTTATTCATCGTCTGGTGTCGTTTAAAGACATTTTAAGCTGCATCTGAAACTGTTATTAACTGTATTTTGGACCTTGGACCGTATGGTTCCCATTTAAGTCCATTATATGGAGAAAAATCCTGGAATGTTTTCATCAAAAACCGTAATTTCTTTTCGACTGAAGAAAGAAAGACATAGGCATCTTGGATGACATGGGGGTGAGTAAATTATCAGCAAAAGTTTTTTCAAAAGTGAACTACTCCTTTAAGGAATTCATGTTTTTTCATTCAGATATGTAAATCAACATGTATAAATTGCTATTAGTCAATTAATGGGGAGATAATCGATAACCGAATCGAAATCGAATCGGACTGGAAAAATGAATCGTTAGATTAATCGATGCATCGAAAAAATAATCGCTAGATTAATCGTTTAAAATATAATCGTTTATCCCAGCCCTATGGGCCACTATATAAAATTACTCAATATAAATGCATGTTTAATCCAGATATTGCATAGTAATTCCTGAGGCAGTTCACTCAATGTGATTGCTTCTCGCTCCATGTTTAGCGCAGGAAAAACGTGACAACAGAACTTAGATCACAAATTCAATCAATAAGGACACTGATTTGAGTTTCACGAACTTACAGCACACACAATTTGCTTCATTGCGACTGAAACCGACTTGAAAAGAAATTAGTAGTTCAGTAACCACTCTGATTCAGTGTGTTCATTCAGCATAGGACTCATCAGACTGATTCTGAGCCATTTTGAATTTGTTGCAAGAATCTGCTTATATGAGAAAGTAGTTAACTCATTTTACACAACTCAAAACTCAGATGTTAGAAAGCTGGAGATATTAATGTAACAGGTGAAATTAGCTGGTTCTCTATAAATGACATGAGTGTGTTTGTGAATGTAAGCATTTCCCTCTTCATATGTGTGTAGAGTTGGAAAGGCCTCTGACGGAGCCGCAGATCAGGGTGGTTTGTAAACAGACTCTGGATGCTCTAGTGTATCTGCATGAAAACAAGGTCATCCACAGAGACCTGAAGGCTGGAAACATCCTGCTCACACTGGACGGAGACGTCAAACTGGGTGAGTGGATGTGGGAGAGGGTTCAGAGGATTTTTATGACCCTTTTTTTAAGACCTTCTCAAATGAAATGAATACCATATGGACAGGGTAGAGCAGTGTCTATGGGAACATCCTAAATTGTAAAATGACTGTAAAAACAAAAGTTTTTTAAAATGTCAAATTTATAAATGAAATATAAATGTATTTAAAATATTTATATACAGTCAAACCAAAATGTATTCAGACACCTGCAACATTTTTCACATTATCACAGTTTATCCGCTAAATGGTAATAAAATATGACAAGAACTCAGAGTTATCAAATCAGTTGATATTTCACTGGTTTTGGCCATCCTTCTGTTAGACTGTCTCACAAATGAGTTTGGTTGAATAGCTGTCAGCTGTTAAATTTAAGTACACAATTAGATAATATCAATTTAGGTTAACCAATTACCAGGCAATGCTTCATGTTGTTCAGTCTGTGGTGTAAAATGGTCGCATTAGCAATTAAAGAAAAAAAAAAAAACCGGTCAGGTCAAAGTGTCTGAATAATTTTTGGTCCCAAATTGTTATAAATTTTACTGGTGGTCACTGTATGAAGGATTTTAGGGTATAATATGTCACAGTTTACTTTATTTTGCTATCCTCACTTACATGAATGACTGTCCTGCACCCACTAGTAAAACAATATCAAACATTATATCTGGTGTCTGAATAAGTTTTGTATATATATATATATCATTTCAACAAAAACAGAAAATGGGCTGATTGAAAATGCAAACTCACTCTCTGACTCTCTCTGGTGCTTATGGATCAGTGGTTACCCCGGTGAACCCTGTGTACAAAGCAGCTGAATTATGACAATTTTTACTCCAGAAGATAAACATTGTCATAATTAAGTAATCCCTTGGTACAAATGTGCGGTGTTCACTGAGTGCAAACAGCCTTGAAACTGCGATCCTGTAAAGCGCGCGACAGCGACGCGTTTTTAAACATTTCTTATAACAAGATATTTAAGACTTTTTATGGATTTAAATTTAATAAAACGGAATTCAAGACTTTTTAAGGACCCACGGGGACCATGCTGTGTAATCTTGAATTTATTATCAGAGTAACGGTGGAGTGTTTTTAGTTTTTTGTTGCCGATCGGCTGCATATAATCCAGTGCAGCAGGAGATTTCAGATGCCATGTGCTGATGAGCAGATTCACAGTTACGTAATAACATGGTAAAGAGACAGAGAGGAGCTGAGGAGGGTCATTTACATGTCAGGCTAAACCGCAGCTTGTAGAAACATTACATCATTGACCAGATGTAAATGATTCTGTGATGGTGTATAAAACTATATGGACGCTTAAAGGGATAGTTCACTTTGAAATACATTTTTGGTATGTTTTAGCTTACCTCAAGGGCATCCAAGATGTAGGTGTCTTTGTTTCCGCAGTAGTTTCAATTTTGATATTTTTAGGTCAAGCCGTTCTTGTCTGTCAGTCATATAATGCAGGTCTATGGTCACCACCTCAAAGAGCATGCACAGAGAAGTCCAAATTAAACATGATTTAATGACTCGTAAATGTAAGTACACATTGATGGCCTAAGACACGAAACAAGCGGTTTGTGTGAGAAAACGAACAGTATTTATATCGTTTTTACCTCTTGTAACCACAGCCACGTCCAAGTGATCTGAGAGCGTGGGCGCTTCGGTCTGCGAAAGCGCCGGAAGTGATCTCTCGCGCGTGTACGTCACTCATTGTTTACACAGAGATTTCGGAAGTGTTACCTTTCACTGTGAAGATCTAAACATATTTAGATAACCAGAAATCGCAATGGAAGACGGTTTCGATATATCAACAGACAACGTTGAATTTTTTTCACAACCATATTTAGATCACTTCCGGTGCTTGCGCAGCCCGAAGCGCCCGCGCCCTCAGATCACTTGGACGTGGCTGTGGTTACAAGAGGTAAAAACGATATAAATACTGTTCGTTTTCTCACACAAACCGCTCGTTTCGTGTCTTAGGCCATCAATGTGCACTTACATTTACGAGTCATTAAATCATGTTTAATTTGGACTTCTCTGGTCATGCTCTTTGAGGTGGTGACCATAGACCTGCATTATATGACTGACAGACAAGAACGGTTTGACCTAAAAATATCAAAATTTAAACTACTGCGGAAACAAAGACACCTACATCTTGGATGCCCTTGAGGTAAGCTAAAACATACCAAAAATTAATTTCAAAGTCAACTATCCCTTTAAGCCACTGAATTTCATGGCATTCGATCACAAAATATCAAAGCAAGTGGCATTTATTGTGAAGAAAGATCTTTTTTATGCAGAACCTTTCCCAAAAAGAAAATTTTCTGTATCTTTCAGCGGACTTTGGAGTGTCTGCCAAGAACACAAAGACGGTCCAGCGAAGAGACTCTTTCATTGGAACCCCTTACTGGCAAGTTAGAGTTTCAAAAAAATGAAACCACTTGTACTTGCACACATTGGCATTGCTGACAGTCTCTTTCATTCAGGATGGCTCCAGAGGTTGTGATGTGCGAGACGTCTAAGGACAGGCCGTATGACTATAAGGCCGATATTTGGTCTCTAGGAGTCACTCTGATCGAGCTGGCGCAGATCGAACCGCCCAACCACGAGATGAACCCGATGAGAGTCCTGCTCAAGATCGCCAAAGCTGACCCTCCTACTCTCCTGCAGCCTTCAAAATGGTACAAAACAATGTGATTTGTATATGTATACACTACCATTCAAAAGCTTGGGGTCGGTACGATTTTAAATACTTTTAAAAGAATTCTCTTCTGCTAACCATGGCTGCGCTTATTTGATTAAAAATACAACTAAAATCAGTTATAGTATTAAATATTATTCCAGTGTAAATCAGCTGTTTTCTGTGTGAATATATAGTAAAGTGTAATTTATTCCTGTGATCAAAGCTGAATTTTTTAGCATCACCAGTGTCAGTGTCTTCAGTGTCAAATGATCCTTCACAAATCAGTGTAATATGAGGATTTGATGCTCAAGAAACATTTATTATTATTATCAATGTTGAAACAGTTGTTGGTCTGTCAGTTGTACAGTTTTTTTTTTTTTTTTTTAGGATTCTTTGATGAATAGGAAGTTCAAAAGAACAGCATTTGTTTGAAATAGAATCTTTTGTAACATTATAAATGTCTTTACTGTCCTTGATAAATAAAAGTATTGATTTCTTTCCTCCAAAAAATAAAAATAAAATTCTCACTGACCCCAAACTTTTGAACGGTAGTGTATATGTATAATGTATATACACTACCGTTCAAAAGGTTTAGATCGGCAAGATTTTTTATGTTTTTAAAAGAAGTCTTCTGCTCACCAAGGCTGCATTTATTTGATCCAAAATACAGCAAAAACAGTAATATTGTGAAATATTTTTACCGTTTAAAATAACTGATTTCTATTTGAATATACTGTAAAATGTAATTTATTCCAAAGCTGAATTTTCAGCATCATTACTCCAGTTTTCAGTGTCACATGATCCTTCAGAAATCATTCTAATATTATGATTTGCTGCTCAAGAAACATTTATTATTATTATCAATGTTGAAATTTTTTTTTCAGGATTCTTTGATGAATACAAAGTTCAAAAGAACAGCATTTATCTGAAATCGAAATCTAAAATGTAACATCATACACTACCATTCAAAAGTTTGGTCATTAAAATATTTTTGGAAAGAGATTTTTATTCAGCACGGATGCATTTAAATTGATCAAAAGTGACAGTAAATACATTATAATGTTATTTATCTTTCTAATCATCAAAGAATCCTGAAAAAATAAAAATTTGCACAACTGTTTTCAACATTGATAATAATAATAAATGTTTATTTAGCAGCAAAACAGCAAAATTAATCTAAATGTAAATCTAAATAATCTAAATAAACGATTGGAAAGAAAATCTCGTTTAAAATTGAATATTAAATTATTAATGTTTACAAAGAATAACTTTAAGGGATCGTTAAATTATGGCAAAAAATAATCTAAATGTTAAAATAGGGGAAAGCATCCACAATTGAATATACAAATTAAAATTCCAAAAAATATATATTTTTGGTACAGACTCATTTTAAAATGTATTTTTAATATATAATGAAAAAAAAAAACAGTTGTCTGTGTATATGTGTATATCTCAAAGTGACAATTGAAAATGCATAACAGATTTTTTTTCTCATGATATTATATCATGCCTTATGCTTAAATACCCGAAATTAGATTTGTAAACAAATATAATTATATATTTTTTATTTGTTTATTTACTTATTGCTTTTTGTTCACAATATAACAGGTTTATAGGTTACCAATACGTTTTAATGACCATCTCTTCATCCGTCTGCAGGTCTCCCGAGTTCAGTGACTTCCTGAAACACGCACTGGATAAGAACGTGGACAACAGGTGGAACACAGCACAACTTCTTCAGGTGAATTGACTTTTCCTACCTTTATTTCAACACGTATAATCTAAGGCCATATCCACTGAACCTGGCCCTAAGCTGAGGCAGTATTGCTGCAAAAGGCCCTTGTGTGCCGTCCTCCTGCTGCTCGGCCACCAGCTGGTCCAGGGGTCTTTCTTGCCACATGAATCAGCAGCTGTTCATTCATTTGTCTGTGTCAGGCACTTTCTGCACCAGCCTTCATCCTTTGACGTCAGCAAAGGAGATTTTGTTTCCGAGGCTTTAAGTAGGCCAGCCTAGCACTGACTGCGCACATATGCACACGTGCTAAACACTTCAGGAGAGATTCTGCTCTCTGAAGAGGCAATATGGGGTTGAAAATACAGAGTTCAAGTTTTCCTCCTATTAAGTTGATCATATCAAAGAAGCTGCACATTCTCAGACCAGCCATTGACTGTCTACAGCAGGTTTCAAAGCCAAGAAAGGTAAGAATTGGAGACTGGCATCCTCATGGGCCATTGATGTGCTCATTTTCCTCTTGTCTGTCGCACATTTGGCTTACAGCAATTTTTGTGTACAATGTAAGCAATAAATCTTAAAGGTCCTAAATTATGCTTTATTTTCTCTAAGCCAAATCGTGATGCACAATATATCAGACAGTACCATATCAGTTATCAGTCAGTATTAGAATTTTTTTTTTTTTTTTTTTTTTTTATTGGAAATCTAGTTGTGCAGGCTCATTTCCACTTATGTTTATATTTATATTTTACCTTTATTAAGTTAATCTTTGAAAACTAATAATTTAATCGTGCTGTTGTTTATTGTACTTCCTTCATTCCTTCAAAACAAATTTATTTATGTATTTTCTCATTGTTTTATTTTATTTTACACACTTGACTGAATTTGTTTCTCAAGATCTTTGAAAACACTAATAATTTAATAATACTGTTCAATTTATTCTTATAAGCAAATCTCACATTTATATCCATTTTTTATACTTTACAATATAATGATGTTATTTCACTTGTGGCATTTGCAGTGTTTGATATCTTTTTTTTTAATATAATTTGTTAAGTTTATTTAGTCAGTATAGTGCAGTATTAGTACAATTTTAATATCAACCATGTATTGGTTGTCAGCTTATTGGTATTGGCCAGAATTTAAATATGTTAATTCAAAATATATTAGGGGGAGGGACATTAACATAACACAGACACTTTTTACATATAAGATATACATACATATGTGTGTATATATATGTGTGTATATATATATATGTGTATATATATATGTGTGTGTGTGTAATTATTCTTTTATTGTATTATTAATTTATTATTTTCCTGAAATTGCAAATAACATCAGATTTAAAATGCTACATTTTCCAAGAATTTATCTGGAACAGAGTATTCTGACTGCCTTTTGTGAATGTCAAAATTAATAGTATCTTAATAATATGTGCATGTGTAATTTTAATATGTATATTGCAGTAATAGTTCATCTTCATTTGTGCAGCACCCGTTTGTGAGTAGTGTGACTGACAGCCGACCCCTGCGGGAGCTCATCGCTGAGGCCAAGGCGGAGGTCACAGAGGAGGTAGAGGAGCTGAAGGAGGAAGAGGAGGAAGAAGATCATGAAGGAAACCTGGTAAGAGATTATAAGGACTGCCAACAAACTTAGAACACTTTTCAGAGAAAGATTAAACCTAAAAAAGTCTGGATGAATGTTGGCCAAAAGAATGAATCTATGCTGCATCATCCATTAACTTGTTTCAAATGACCTTACCCTCAGCTTCGCGGACACAAGCGCGCACCATCTGACGCTAGCGTCGGCAGCTCTGAAGACGAGAAGCTTCCCCAGTCGCCGTCCACCTTGGAGTCTGTTCCTGAAAAGATAGAGGACGTCGCTTCCCCTAAGCTACCAGATGATAATCTTACAGCTGGAAAAGAGAAGGAAGAAGAACCTCTGAAGGTGGATGAGAACCACATCCGGGATGTAACGGTACCTGGATCCAAGGAACAAGCTGTGGAAGAGTCTCAAGAACCTAAAGCTGAAGAAAAGGCTGTAGAAGCAGAGGTTGTTTTACCAGAGACTCCTCCTGACACGATAGTCCAGAGGGTGGAGCAACCAGCCAAACCTGATGGAGAGAAACTGGAGGAGAAAAAGGAGGTGGTGGGCAACGGTGAGCTCATAAAGGAAGTGCCTGCTTCAGACATGGCTTCAATAGAGACTCCAACTGAGCCCACTAAACAAGCTGAGCCAGTGAAAGAAGTATCTCCAGTGAAAGAAGTAGAGAAGGCTGAGGAAAAGGAGAAACCTGCAATGGTGGAGAAAGAAAGCCCGGTGAAGCCTAGGTATGTGAAGAAGCAAGACTCTGACTCGGGAATAAGTTCGACAGCTGACAGCAGCAGCATAGACCTGAACTTATCCATCTCCAGCTTTATTAGCAAGTCCAAGGAGCCAGGAACCATCTCTCAACAGGTGAGAAACACCTACTCAAAGCTGTCATTACTTTATACTCGCTAGATACCAGACAATAGAAGATCACAATGAGTGTAGAGTCAGACTAGTCTCTGATTTAAATTCAGAGGAATAATAGAAACAACGTGTCTTTCTAATAATTGAATAGCCCGTAGTCAATTATTACGTGATTGCTACACACCTCAAAACATTGTTCAGATATTCTATTTCAAGACATTTGTCAGGTTTTTGTCTTTATGGGTGTGTTCATACTTGGCATGTTTGGTTGGACTAAAGCGAACCATTTGAACCCTGGTGCGTCAAACAAGCAGAGCGAGACGCTGAAAAGATGGATCTCGATCCGCTTCCAAACCAACTCTGGTGCGGTTTGAAAGATATATGAACGCAACACGGACCAAAGACATGTTAACCAACCAAAACAGGACAGAATCCTCAAGAATACCTGTTTTTTCTCATCATAGTCGCGATGCTGCCCATCACAGATCAGTACAGGCGTCAGAACCGCGTCTCCTCACAGCAGATCTGTGTGTGTGTGTGTGACGGAGGGATTCCTGACGCTGTTTTGACTCATTTTACACATTTGATAAGCTCTTCACTTGTTCTCAGTTGGTCAAAATACCATTATATGTACGCTACGGCTACGCGCATTTATCCCAGAACACAGCATTGTTTTGAATGTTTGGCAATTTCTGTCCCAAAATATACGTAATGAAAGCTGACCAATCAGGTTGTAAATGGATCCCTCCCTATGCCTTTAGGCTTGGTATCTTTAGGTTTGGTGTTAAAATGCCAATGTGAACGATAAGACGACAAAGGCTAAAAAAGATTTTTTGGTCCGAACCAAGCGAACCGAACTACAAGTGTGAACCCACCCTAAAACGCTCTTGTGTGTGGGACTAATTTCTCATCCAAGGCTCAGTTGCTGATTCCAAAATCTCATTTTAGATATGCTGACTTATGTTGACTTGTGCTGTTATTTGAGAGAAAGAGGAAGCATGAGGGAAAGAGATTGATTGATTAAGCAATTGAAATGTTTAAATATTACAAATAAAATAGTTATTGTGAATTATTAATTTAGTGAATATTTCTATAGGCTAAAAATATATTGTGAATTATTAGTGAACATTGTGTGGAAAAATGGCCTGTCTTCATTTTATTTATTTATTTATTTATTTATACTGAGTTTAAGTTTTAACATTTAAATCTATAGGCTGAAATAAATTATAAAATTATAATAATGTATTGTGAATTATTAATTTAACAAAAGTTTGTGAAAAATTACATGCCTTAATTTTATTTATTTATTTACTGGGTTTAAGTTTTAACATTTAAACATTTTGAATCTTTTGGCTACGGGGCTGTTTGGTCAAAAAAAAATATATTTGTATTAATTTGTTCTTTAGTAAAAATAAGTAAGGCCATTTAATCCACAAAGTATCATAAATATTGAGCTATATTTAAAAGGCTAAAAAACATCAGGATTTTTTTTTTTTTTCAGTATTCCCACAGTATTAAAACTAGAATGTTTTGTTGTTGTTGTTGTTCTAGGACAACAAGAGGCAGAAAAAAACTCTGAAAAAGACTCGCAAGTTCATTGTGGATGGAGTGGAAGTCAGCGTGACGACATCAAAGATCATCACAGACAATGACACCAAAAGCGAGGAGATGCGATTCCTCCGGTGAGCCATCAGCTGTTTAACTGCTCTGAGACACTTTGCATGTTTGACTCATGTTTGCATCATATTTGCATTCATTGGTAAAACTTTAGTTCTGCCTGTTTCATGTTGTGGCAGAAATTTTCTAGTACAAGCTTCTGCCTCTTCTCATTCTTAAAGCAATAGTTTTGGTAAATGCACACAGACTGGTAGTTTAAGTGTCCAATCATCTTTCACGGCTGGGTGATATAAAAGTGGTGTTGGGCTGTTTTCATACCTCAAAGCGACAAAAAGTTTCCCGTGCGGTGTTTATTAGCATGTTTTACATATAACGGCCCCATATTTCAACACCAGATATGTGAAAGGGAAAACAAGCTGAGTAATACTTCCTGTTCCTGCCTGGAAAAGCTTCCTGTTGGACTGGATAGTGCCAATTTTTTTTTCAGAAAAGCTCAGCATTTTTCAACTCTAAACAGTTTTCCCTCCATTTCAATTTTAAACAATTTACATATTTGGTTATCCTAAACTTATTGTCATTATAAAGAAGTAATGAAACAATGAAAATACAGTCATAGTCTTTAAAGTAATGATATAAAAAACAATCCTATTTACCTACTTAATGCATGATCCTTGTGCATGATTCGAGTTTATACTTAAAAATGTCACATTTCAGAAGTAAAATGGGTTGTGAATGCTGTTTAATGTTGACTTTGGGGTAAGTAATAAAATACCTTTTTACTCCGTGATGTTTCTAAATTGGCATTTGCTGGTGGATTTAAAGGGTTAATTCACCCAAAAATGAAAATTCTGTCATCAATTACTCGCCCTCATGTCGATCCAAACCCGTAAGATGAACCCGTGAGTTCATCTTCAAAACACAAATGAAGATCTTAATGAAATCTGAGAGAAAACTGGCTTGAAAGTGGTAATTGCGTAAACTGTCAATGGAGAGACAGAAAACACTCATATTTCACTGTGTTCTGAAGATGAACGAAAGTCTTACGACATGAGGGAGAGTAATTAATGACAGAACACAAACCTTTTAGAAATTGGACATTGCTTTACCATAGAGATGGTGCTTTAAAACCTTTTTAGCAGGCTCAAATTATATTAATAGTGAACAACTTAGTTAGAAATATGGCTTTGATTTTCTAGTCCTATATATTTTGTATAAAATAAAAATGTTTAGTTCCGTATATTTGCTAAAACACCATAGGTGGGTCTGTTGTTGGATCAGTGTAAAATGATTGTTAAATGTGTGTGTTTCAGGCGTCAGGAGCTGAGGGAACTGAGACTTCTGCAGAAAGAGGAGCAGAGAGCCCAAACTCAGCTCAGCAACAAACTCCAACAGCAGCGGGAGCAGATCTACAGACGCTTCGAACAGGAAGTCACGGTGAGCCAGAACAAACAAAGACATTAAGATCAGAATCGCTGCTTCATTGATGGAACTGGATCATATCAAGGGTCCAATATCAATCAAATTAAGGGTATAGAAGGAAAGTGCCTGCTGAAATAGTTCCTGATTTCCAGGGCAAAAATGAATACAATCGGACAACTCTTCTCTGGGATCATCTTTAAAATGTCACCTTGAAACCATATAATCTAATAAAAAGCCTGCCAAGATACTCTGCTGATGTGATTATTATTTGAAAGGTTTTTGTTTTTACATTAAAAGCCTTTAGGTGCTTAAAACCTGATTGCTCTCCTGAGAATAGTGGTGTTGCCAATCCCAGAAACACTGGCAGGACTCTGACCGAATTACATCACATGCTTAACAGCTTCATTATTTTTGGAGTGTGTAATCCGTGTCTGACTATTAAGCGTAGGTCAGTTTTAAGCCACCTGAGATTGTGCCAGTTAACCTGGTCAACAATCATTTTTCCTGTTCATTATTTTTATTCTAGTTATTAAAACTAAATTAACTTGAACTAAACTTTGGTTGTCATCAGGAAAGGATCTCTAGATTCTCATGTTTTTTGTTTTTTTTCTTGTCAAGTTATTTTTAATTTCTGGTGTTTAATGTGTGTATATATATATATATATATATATATATATTAGGGCTGTCAGTTAAACGCGTTATTAACGGCATTAACGCAAACCCATTTTAACGGCATTAAGTTTTTTATCGCGCGATTAACGGGCTTTTTGGCCTAGCAAACTTTGTAGTTTTTTTTCACATGCTTTTGCAACAGGACGTGGCAGCTATGAAACCCATTCATTTCAATGGCTTGCGCCGCACGAGGACGTTTTGAAAGCGCAAGCGGATCTAGCTAGACCGGAAACAAAACAACAGGCACGACGCCGCACACACTTGTTTAGTTGACGCCCCCTTTATTGACGCCCCCTCGTCAATATCAGGACCTCGTCAGTATTTCTTTCACCCTTTTATTGATGGACAGTGTTACATTGTGTGAGAGATTATTTGCTCCAAGTGAGAATGTTAGTGTGAAATTGAACACAGTATTGTCAATGTTGTTTTCAATAAAAAAACATTTGCACAAAGCAAGCCGATCCACTTTTCCATGTTGATAAGAGCATTAAAATGAGAAAAAAGAATGGGACAAAAAGAAATCAAGAGACATTTAGAATAGATAAAAATGTGCGATTAATCGCGAGTTAACTATGACATTAAAGCAGCACTAAGTAGGAATTCTGTTTTTGTCAAACAGCGACCCCTAGAGTCGCTGTGGAGTACTTGTACTGTTGTGAATAGCACTCACGCAGAGATGGCTCGCACTCACGGCCGGATCCCCTCCCCCTGTACACCGGTACCTGTTCAGTAGGATGGACGCTGTAACGAGTGGAAATAAGGTATGGCCCCTTTAAGAGCTGCGCGCGCCCTGTTTAACTGTCGGCAGTCTGTATTGTATGTGCGCCTCGAACACCACATGTATACGGCGCCGGGTTATTTCTGTTTGATGCTCATTTTATCGGAATTTGATCAGATCTCTTTTTTGCCGTAAAGCAATTCGTTACCTCGCGAGACCTGATATCACACGATACTTCCTAACACTGAGGCCGGCGGCCCAAAGTTGCAAGGGTGGTTTTGCGGCTCACAGGCACCAGGGGGGTGCGAGACGACCACCATTCAACACGAAATCAGTAATATAAACATTACAATGACTCCAAAGCTGTTCGGTTAAGGTAAAAAAGTTACTTAGTTCACCTTTAATGCGATTAATCGTGATTAAATATTTTAATCGTTTGACAGCACTAATATATATATATATATTTGTTATGCATGTCTATTTCTATTTATCTCAGTATTTTGAATGGGTCTAGAGAGGCGATTCGTGTAGATCTGCTTTATAATTTCCACGTTTTCTTGTCTCGCTAGAGTAAGAAGCGTCAGTATGATACGGAGGTGGAGAATATGGAACGGCAGCAGAAACAGACCATCGAGCGCCTGGAGCAGGAACACACCGATCGTCTCCGAGACGAAGCCAAACGCATTAAAGCTGAGCAGGACAAAGAGCTCTCCAAGTTTCAGAGCACGCTCAAGAACCGCAAGAAAGAGGTATGGAAGAGTTTAGGATCCCTGCTTTCCAGAAGAAGCATTCTGAGGGAAAAAATAACGATTAGATTTTTTTTGGAGATTTTATTTATTTTCACTTACTAAAGTATTCTTATGGTTTAAATACGAATCCGTTTACATGGGATTGAACTGACTGTACCTCACAGGATGTTGCTCATGTGATGATAGACTCACCAGCGCCGCCCTGCAGGACGTAAGCGGCATGTCTGTTGAATGTGTGCTGTGAAACATGAAATCTGCTTTCCTTTGCTTTCTTTCCTTTTTATGATCAGTGTTTAGTCTCAACTGCAGGAGTTTGGCCAGTATTAAACCATACAGATGGTCAAAGCAGTTTCATTCTTCTTTTCAACAGTGCTGTCATTCTGTCAGTAACGTCGGCATGGAATGGAAGTTGCGATAGTCTTTAATTCCCTATTGTGACGTTTATCCAAGTGAAATGGCTTCTCAAACAAGAAAAGATGTAGGGCGGGACTTGATTTTCGCCATGGGGAATTGATTGAATGGTTGTGGTTTGCTATTGGTGGATCTCATGTGAGTGACAGGTTGCCCCGCCCTCACGCCAGTAAACGCATCATCAGAGAAGATCTTGATTCTTTTGTAGACTAAAATAGTTCATTACAGGTTTTCTATTTAGGATACACTGTCAAAAGTGCCCTCTCCCCTTTCAAAATGAACGTGTGTATATATGCTGTTTTATTGCTAGTTGTTAATGTTGTGTTTGTGTGTGTTTAAAGGAGCAGGAGTTTCTTCAGAAGCAGCAGCAGGATCTGGACAGCGCTCTGAAGAAGATCATTCAGCAACACAAACGTGAGCTGGCCACGATCGAGAGAGACTGTCTCAACAACAAGCAGCAGCTCCTGAGAGGTCAGACTGGACATTCCCACTCAATATTACCCTTAAAGGGATACTCCACTTTTTTTGGAAATAGGCTCATTTTACAACTCCCCCAGAGTTAAACTGTTGAGTTTTACCGTTTTTGAATCCATTCAGCCGATCTCCGGTTCTGGCGGTACCACTTTTAGCATAGCTTAGCATACATCATTGAAGTGGACAAGACCATTAGCATTTCTCAACAAAAAAAAAGACCAGTGTTTCGATATTTTTCCTAATTTAAAACTTGACTCTTCTGTAGTTACATCGTGCACTAAGACCGACGGAAAATGTAAAGTTGCGATTTTCTAGGCTGATATGGCTAGGAACTATACTCTCATTCCTGCGTAATAATCAAGAAACTTTACTGCCGTACCATGAGAGCAGCAGGCGTAATGATATGACGCAGCGCCTGAAAATAGGCTACCTTCCGTCAACACAACGGAACTATTTTCAGGAGCTGCGTCATATCATTACGCTAAGCTATGCTAAAAGTGGTACCGCCAGAACCGGAGATCGGCTGAATGGATTCAAAAACGGTAAAACTCAACAGTTTAACTCTGGGGGAGTTGTAAAATGAGCCTATTTCCAAAAAAAGTGGAGTATCCCTTTAAGTCTTATTCTCATCCTCCCTAATGGATTGTTTACAGCTTTTGCTGTGTTAGCAGTTAGCGGCTCTAGTCAGCTGTTTGTGCGGTGAGCACCACAGCATTAGAGATATAATAAATTGCACACTACCGTTTTTTTTATATTAATTTTTGAAAGAAATTACAGTTTTTTCAAATTGCTTACACACTATGTGGAACTGGAGGCTGCCCAGTCCTATTGTTTGAACCGCGAGAGGCGTCAATTGCCGTCATTGCGTTGTGCGTCTGGTTCAAGTTTTACTCTTTTGGCGTAAGTCGTAATCCGTACGTAAGCTAGTTATTTTAGTCGATAAAGTTTTAAATATGGATATTTTTCTTACACAAACGCATCGCTTCGCTTCAGAAGACCTTTATTAACCCCCGGAGAGCCGTGTCGAGCACTTTAATCATGAATTAATGCACTTTAATGGACTTCCAAAGTCATCCAGTCATTCACTGCCTTGGAATTATCAACCTTGGAAGAGCCAGGAAATGTATTAATATAACTCTATATAACATAACAGTATATAACTGAATGTCATATACACCTAGGATGACTTCAGGGTGAGTAATCATGGGCTAATTTTCATTTTTGGGTGAACTATCCCTTTAAATAGTTTTGAATGATGCGTTTGCTTTTGCAAGAGATGTCTGATGTTTTGCATGTTGTGTGTGTGTGTTTTGTGTGTAGAGTTTCAAGAAATTGAGCCATAGTTTCAGAAATTGTGTGTTAGCAATTTGAAAAACTGTAACACTTTTACTCTGCAAGGAATTAAATTGATCAAAAGTGACAGTAAATATATGTATAATGTTACAAAAGATTTCTATTTCAAGTAAATGCTGTTCTTTTGAACTTTCTATTCATTAACATATCCTGAAAAAAATGTATTACGGCTTCCACAGAAATATTCAGAAGCACAACTGTTTGATGATAATCAGAAATGTTTATTGAGCATCAAATCATCATATTAGAATGATTTCTGAAGGATCATGTGACACTGAAGACTGGAGGAATGATGCTGACAAAGAGAGCAAAAGAGGCTTCTTTAACAAACATCAAAACATCTTACCAACCCCAAACTTTTGAACGTTAGTATATATCGGTACCATATTGGTTGTCAGACAGTATTAGAGATTTTTTCTCGTGTTATTTATAGCTATCATTTGATTTTGAATATTTAATTGTGCATGCTCATTCCCATGTATGTTTACCTTGGCCATAATCTAACTCTTACGTAAAGTTAATGTTAAAGTTTATTACATAACACGGTTACATTTTCATCAATAATGTTGTGATGCATAAATTTATAGCGCTTGCAGCATTTTAAAGTACTGCTTGTATTATTATTATTTTTTTTTTGTAACTTTAGACAGAGAATTTTAATATCAGCCATAACATGAAAATAATAATCAGCTCATATCCGATAATTTAAAGTAGTTTTAATATCGACATCCACCTATTTTAATGCAAATTTTCAGATATCACATAAAAACATGATAAGAAGACATAAGCATAAACTACATTTACCAAATAAATCCCTTGAGGCGCAACAGATAAATCATGTGCCTCAACAGAGGATGTGATTGGATAACTAGACTAACCAGCGGACCGATTTCATTGCACGGCATCTCAAATGTTGGTTTGGTTGTTCTGAAATCCCTGAGCCAAAGTCTGTCATCAGAATGATTTGATATATGACTTCCCAGAAGCGTCTCAAACGACTTGTTAAATTCACAACTTTGGGCGGGAAAAACTTAGCTATAGTTACCTTACCGTGTGCTCTGGTACTGGGCTAGCTTTTGTCACACGGGGTGCCATTTGAACTTTGAAAACAAAGTTCAGTTGATTTAACTTAGTTCTTCCTGATTCTTGCAGCCAGAGAAGCCGCCATGTGGGAGCTGGAAGAGCGCCACCTACAGGAGAAACACCAGCTGCACAAGCAGCAGCTGAAAGACCAGTACTTCATGCAAAGACACCAGCTGCTCAAAAGACACGAGAAGGTTACTTCCCACATCAGCCTTATACAGTCTGTGCACTTCTGGTTGCTATTGTTGTGATTTTAAACTCTGAGTGTGTTTGTCTACAGGAAATGGAGCAGATGCACAGGTATAACCAGCGTCTGATGGAGGAGATGAAGAGCAAACAGACTCAAGAGAGAACCAGACTGCCTAAGATCCAGCGCAGTGATGCTAAGACCCGCATGGCCATGTTCAAGAAGAGTCTGCGCATCACAACCACAGGGGTCACGCCGGAACTGGAACGTGAGAGGGTCAAACAGGTCAGAGGTCATATCAGGTTCAGGCTTAAAGGTGCAGTAAGCGATTTCTGATTCATGCTGTTGAAAGTGGATCGGACCAACACGGTTGTAGCCAATCCGCAGTAGGGGGCGTGTCCACTCATGATGGGGGAGGAAGGAGAGTGAGATTTGAAGACTGTTGAAAGAGAAATGGCTGAACGACTTTACAAACGAGAAAGGTTTAGAGGAATAACACTGGAAAAAAGAAGGGTTATGATAAGGCATGAGCTTTAGGACGCACGTCTGTATCAGGAAAGCGTTGCTGCTAGGGGTGTAACAATACATCGATATGGATCGATGCATCGATCAAACGTCTAACGATACGATGCATCGATACCACACATAAAATATCGATGTACAGTACCTTTATTTTGACACGCTCCACATCTTCACGTAAACTTTCTCCGCTGAAATAGACGCCTGACAAGATTGACTGAACCCTTTGTCACAAAAGACAGTATTTTCCACTGTCATCGAGAGTTCACAGCAGAAACAACAAGCCCCGAAAAGTTTGTTTTAGCAAATCAGTGCGCAGTATTCAGGTCAGGTGACAAGGCTGCTTGTCACTTTGAAAAGACGCGCTAGCTGAGAGGAGTTTCGTCAAGCTGACTAAAAGTGATCGAGGATGGATTTCAGCGAACTTGATGAACTCGTGATATCTTCTTCGGGGCGTAAAAGTAAAATAAAAGCTGAAACTTTGTCACGGAATCTTGCTAAAACAGCACGTTTAGTGGTGAGTGAACAGCTCTCTGTATTGCGTGTACGTTAATCACAACAACAAAGTTTGACAGGCGTCTATATCAGCTGAGGAGATTAGCGTTACAAAGATTAACCAAGTGTTTTATTATGTATCATAGCAAATACTTGGCTTTGTTTAACTCTGAAACATGAAATGTGGAGTTATCTGCTTTTGCCATAGAAATATATATATATATATATAAAATATATAAATCCTTTCAATGAACTTTAATATAACAGAAGAGTTCATTTGCAAAAAGAGATAACTGCGTTCTTGTTTATTTTCATATATCATTTTTTTTTACTTGTAACAAACTACTTGTAAATGTCCCAATTGGGAGAGGGTGTGCAATTTTCAAAGAGTTTAATTAAACTTTCATGTTATATATATTTGGATGTATTGTGAGTTAATAAACGTAACCGGTTGTGTACACTTAGCACATAATATCTAAATATCGATTAATCGATCGATATAGCCCTGAATCGAATCGAATCGTAATCGAATGGTAGAATTTTTTGAGGTATCGGCAAATATCGTATCGCTGGCTGAGAGAATCGATATCGTATCGTATCGTGATTAACTGTCCGATTTACACCCCTAGTTGCTGCGCTGGATAGAGTTAAGCGGGTAGGCCTGAAAACGGACGCAGAGGTTGCGTTGTTTCTGCTCCATACGCGAGTAACATTGGTTTGCCATGTTTCACAGAACCAAGATATGCTTTATATGCAAGTGTCATTGTTTGTCTGGAGCTGCTGGCGACTAATGGTGTGTTCACACCGAACGCGAATACAGCGTCAAATACGCGTCTATCGCGTCTAGTTAGACGCTTGAACATTCGCTCGAGTTCAAATTTTTCAACTTGCGCGGAAGACATTCGCGGCAAACGCGTCGCCCAATTCGCGTCATTCGCAACGCCCGGCGCGAATGATGCGTCTATTCGCGTCTTTGCATTGACTTTGTATGTAATCTACTCGCGCAAATAATTAAATTCGCGTTCGGTGTGAACACACCGTAACAACCAACTTTAGCTTGTTTGCCATTTGTTCGTTATCTTCGCTTTATTTTCCGCGAAGCATTATTTTGCTTCTACTATGATAAAGTGTGTCTTGCATTGTGTGTTCGTGCATTTTGGGGGCAGAGACATGAAGGGAAGGGTGTGTTTCTTGGGTTGATTTTAAATGTCAGTGGTGTTTCTCAGAAATCACTTACTGCACCTTTAAATGGTTAGTTCACCCAAAAATGAAAATTATGTCATTAATGACTCGCCCTCATGTCGTTCCAAGCCCGTGAGACCTCCGTTCATCTTCGGAACACAGTTTAAGATATTTTAGATTTAGTCCGAGAGCTTTCTGTCCCTCCATTGAAAATGTGTGTACGGTGTACTGTCCTTGTCCAGAAAGGAAATAAAGACATCATCAAAGTAGTCCATGTGACATCAGTGGGTTAGTTAGAATGTTTTGAAGCATCGAAAATACATTTTGGTCCAAAAATAACAAAAACTACGACTTTATTCAGCATTGTGATGTCTTCCGGTTCTGTTGTGGATCCGCGTTCAGTGACGCCGCTGACGTAAGACGCCGCTGACGTGTGTCTGGTGCGTCCGAGCTTCGTTTACAGTCTGAGGGAGACGCACGCTGGAAACAAAACAATCTTCGCACACATGTCTAAGAATTTCGACACAGAGGAAGACTTGCCTTTTTTTTGCCCAGCCATATTTATTTGAACCCGAATACACGGACGCACCAGACACACGTCAGCAGCGTCTTACGTCAGCAGCGGCACTGAACGCGGATCCACAACAGAACCGGAAGACAATACAATGCTGAATAAAGTCGTAGTTTTTGTTATTTTTGGACCAAAATGTATTTTCGATGCTTCAAAACATTCTAACTAACCCACTGGTGTCACATGGACTACTTTGATGATGTCTTTATTTCCTTCATGGACAAGGACAGTACACCGTACACACATTTTCAATGGAGGGACAGAAAGCTCTCGAACTAAATCTAAAAGATCTTAAACTGTGCTCCGAAGATGAACGGAGGTCTTACGGGCTTGGGACGACATGAGGGCGAGTCATTAATGACATAATTTTCATTTTTGGGTGAACTAACCCTTTAACTTACAAGAATTTTAACATTGCTGCCTGATTCTGCAGAAATAATCAACTTTGTATTTATCATGATATTACATTTTGAGATCTGCTAAAATGACATTTTAAGGTCATGTATATAAAAAATAGTGGAAATTAACATGCTCAAATAAATATGGATATGATATGGATCTAATATCGATGGATACCACTTCATATCAATATGGTACATGGTATTGTGCATCCTTAAATATTTCAACTTGTTGCACAGATCATTTTCTTCTTGGAGTTAGTGTTTGTGTAGTAATTCTTATATATTTGTGTGGCCGATGAACAGTTTGCAGCACAGGAGGAGAAGAGACAAAAGAACGAGCGTCTCCATCAACTCCAGAAACATGAGAATCAGATGAGAGACCTGCAGACGCAGTGCGACGCCAACGCCAGGGAACTCCAGCAGCTGCAGGTACACCTGAGCATTCACCGCCAGACGAACAACACAGCCCTTACTCCGTCGTAAAAAACAAATGGTAACGTGCCTTGTGTGTGTTGTAGAATGAGAAGTGTCACCTGTTGATCGAGCATGAGACTCAGAAGCTGAAGGAGCTGGACGAGGAGCACAGCGCAGAGCTCAAGGACTGGAGAGAGAAACTCAGACCCCGCAAGAAGGTACGACACTAGTATTCAACCTCAATCACAGTTCTGAAGGGCCTATCACTCTTTTAGCAATGTTGCACATGAAACCTGAAATGCTAATTTATATAGACTACCATTCGGAAGTTTGGGGTCGGTAAGATTTTTTTAAAATGTTTTTGAAAGAAGTCTCTTATGCTCACTAAAATGAAATATTATTACAATTTGAAATAACTGTTATCTATTTTATTATATTTTTAAATGTAATTTATTCCTGTGATCAAAGCTGAATTTTCAGCATCATTACTCCAGTCTTCGGTGTCACATGATCCTTCAGAAATCATTCTAATATGATGATTTGATGCTGAATAAACATTTCTTATTATTATCAGTTTTGAAAACCGTTATGCTGCTTAATATTGTTGTGGAAAAAAATATACTTTTTTTCATCTTTGATTACTAGAAAGTTCAAAAGAACAGCATTTATTTGAAATAGAAATCTTTTGCTGCGTTATACATGTATTGACTGTCACTTTTGATCAATTTAATGCGTCTTTGCTGAATAAGATATGAATTAATTTCTTACTGACCCCAAACGGTTGTGTATTTAATTTTCACTTTTTTATTGGTTATTTTTTATCTTAATTAAACCAATATGTTGTAATGTTCAGCAATTAAACTTCATCATAATAATTCAAAGAAATTTGAACTTTCAATGTAAATTACTGAGACCTTTCAAAACTGCACTCATTCATTTTTCCCTTATTAAAGGGATACTTCACCTCTGGAAAGATGAATGTGTATTTAAAATGGGTCATTTATGTAGAAGAAATGTGAAATTATTTCTGAATTTGGAGCTTTCTAGATTAGATATTTTTGGCTTATGTGTATGAAAGACTACAACTCCCACAATGCACTTGCTTCGCTCCCCTAGGAGGCCACGCCTACCGGTAACAGAGCAGTAGTTAAACAACAAGTCTAGGCTACTAGTGAGTCTCCCGTGATGAGTCTGCCCGAAAATGTGTTTCGAGATCGCCCAAAATGTCCGGGATTCGGCTTTTGCGTTCTACAGTCGCCATTCATTATGTTTACTGTGGCGAGCAGGACGAGACTGAGGAACAGCCCCTACTACTGACTGTAGTCTTTAGACTCTGGCCAAAAAATCCTCCGATGACTCAAAATGACGATTTTTGCGTCATCTGAGGATTTTTTCCAGACAAAAAATACATAAATCTCTCGTCTCAGGGGGATATGAGGGTGGAAAGCATAGGTTAAATTGGGGCGGAGCGCACCGGAGCGCAGCTCCGCCTCCTCGGGTCCACAACACACCCTGCCGGAGCTCAGCTCCGTCTCCTTCAGCACCAAATATATAATTTTTGTTGAGTGTATATAATGAAAGTTATGAAATAGCTGCAATGATTCGCCCATCGCAACGATGACCTTCTCGTCTGAGGTGCTTCAGCACTCACCCGCTCGTCAATGTCAAAATGTTTGAGTCCAATCAAAGCAAGTGGGATTTATGTTCACAGAAGCGCAAGCCGAGCGCGAATTCCAACGCGACGCTTCACGCTTCAGTTAACGGGCATACCGTGCGAGATAAGATGCAAGTAATCTAAACAGCTGTTTGTCGATAGCAGTTTTAAATGATCGACAGAAATACTCAGTTTGATCAAAGACAGTGGATAGCCTACTATAAGCTCAATTTAACAACACAAGCGCCCAATTAAATATATTGCCATTATTATTGTAATATATTTGTATAACGTTACCTCGAATGTGTTCGACTTTTCACTGTTTGTATCACTCCACTTGTTCGTGTTTGCGCAACTTGCATCATTAAGCCAGAAGGCGGCGACAAGTGACTGTCTTTATGAGTGAACAATTGAACCATTGATTAAATGAACAGATTAGCTAGCCCAAAAATATTGATTAATTTAGGAAAGAAAAGTAGCTGAAACTGATGCTCATACTAATTGCTCATATGCCTCTGGGCACAAAATGATTGCATTGGCGTTTGTTTGAAATGTAACATCTACAAAATAATCCTCGAATCATTTCTTATTTAAGGACATTCCCGTTTCGAATATGTGATTGTGTATTGTCAACAATATGCATAAACATTCTGCATTTCTATTTTATAGTGTGGTGGATCACTCATTGCGACATTTAAACTGATTCTCATGTTAAAGAATCTGTTATCTGATCAAATAGGCCTAGGCTACTTCATGCTGACCACTGACATGCTTTTAAAGCTACTGTTGTCCTTTTTTTTTTTTGCCTCCCAAAACACCCCCAAGCAAGATAATTTTTGGAAACTTTTATTTAAACCCCCGTACGGCCCTGCGTGTCGGTGTGATTAAAACAAACAACAAATTGCCAAAGAAATTGGCCCTGATTCTTTTAAATCAACATTTTTTCTTGTTTTAAAAAGATATTTGCCAAACAATATTTTCAAACATGTTCAATTTCATACATTTCCCGAGGGTGAAATCCGTTGCTGTCTGTTAACATAAGTAAAAAAAAAAAAAAAAAAAAGGGAATTGTAAAGTATTTCTCTTTGTTTAAATACACACTCAACCCTACCTTACACATTAATACTGGAAAAGGAGCCTCTTTGGTGTAGAAACACATTAAGTCATTTTACGGCGCGATTTTGAATGATGACCATTCACCGTAAATACGGGCTCCCCCTCCCTATAAAAGCCAATTTAACCACTGGTGGAAAGCATGGTAATTCGAAAATACTACAGGTTTTCTACTAATACAAAGCTTAATGCTAAATCCTGAAGTATCCCTTTAAAGATGCCATGTTGAGATCACATGACCAGCCAAATTTACTTAAAATTCTTGGTAAAACCCCCTATTACAGGACTTTCTCACCATGGCTGTCTATGAAAAGCTTTTGTGTGATGCTTCATCCGCACCACTAGATGTCAGCAAAACATTATTGAGTCCATCTTTAATATTGAACACTTCCACCATGTTTGATTAGTGCTTTACTAAGAACATGAAATCTCTCTGTCCAGGCCCTGGAAGATGAGTTTGCCCGTAAGCTTCAAGAGCAGGAAGTGTTCTTCAAAATGACCGGGGAGTCTGCATGCCTTAACCCCTCCACCCAGAGCCGAATCTCTAAGTTCTACCCCGTCCCGAGCGTCCACTCCACCGGGTTTTAAAGCACAGAGATGCTGAACTGCTATGACTGAACCTCTGCTGCCTCCTTCCCTCTGATCGCTGCTGTCAGTCAGAACGGAGGGCCGGATTCTTCTAGTATGATTTTGATTTTATTCTTTTTTTAGTTTTATTTAAGCTTTAAATGTGGATTTTCAGTGTGGTTGGTTTTCCAAAACATTTCAGTGATGGTTTCGGAAAGATAATGTGATTTAATTCTATATGCCACTTAGTGAATCTTTTTTTCCCATTTTCTTCTTTTTTTAAATTTATTGAAAAAATGTCATAATTTTACCTCTTTTTTCTTTTTTTGGTCTCAGAGTATTAATCGTGGTTTACTGTGGTATTTTTAGGACTATATTTGCAAACATGGAATGACTGTTCAACTTCGGGGCTGATTTGCTTGAGTAAAGACTGAGTCAATGCTTGATGTCAGTGGTTATGAGAACCGAACGAATGATTTAAATATCAAAATAAAGCCATTGATTCTGCCAAGCGACATTCTAATGAAGTTTAATCGCACATTATTTAGAGAAATACATTATCAGGACATAATGTTAAATGTTAATTCATGATTTCTTGGTTATTTCCTGTATGAATTACAGGATATATTTGAACTTCCATCATCTCGAATCACTTTTTGTGAGCTTTGTTTATTATCATAACATGGATTTATACTTTAAGCAGCAGCCATAGTCATTTCTTTGAAGCATTTTAGCATATCAACCACACTGTGTGCAAATATTCTGACATCACTGTGGAAAGAAGTGCATTTGCACTTGCTCTGCTATGCAATGTGAACATGTAGCTGCATTAATCATCTCAACTTTACAATTCATCGACAAACTTTAAAGCAAAACACCTCAATCTTTTCATATTGTCGATACTGTTCATATTGATTTTTCCCCGATAACATGCGTAACTGGAGATTCATCCAGACATCTCTACTCTACATTTGTGTACTTTTCGGGTAAGACTGTATAGAGGATGATGTTTCCTGTAAACCAATTTAATTTAATTAGACATGTTGTTTTTTAGCATTTTTTAGTAAAAGATTTTTTCTTCATCTAAGTTCACTTTTTTAACATGCAGTTCTAAATGTGTTTACTGCATTTACATTTGTGGTGTAGTCTGTAAAAACCGCACAAAACGACTGTGAAATCTGTGTGTGGGGGGGAAAGACAGAAAACATGAAGTTCTTGTCATTGATATAACCTCAGAGCAATGTTCATGTTTTACTGTAAAGAGAGTGCTGTGCGCCTTCTGATACAGGAATTCCTGCAGGTAGTCGCATAATCAGTACTTTTTCTTGATTTTTTTTTTTTTTGTACACATTTTCTTTCACAAAAATAACAGTTGTAAGATGTATTGTGTTTGTGTCAAATATCAAATCATTGTGATTATAGGAAGCTACTGTAATTAAAGCATGTGTGGTGAATCGTTCAGTTGTGTGGGTCTCTGTATTCAAGTGTCTCTCTGTTTATTATGAATACGAGGAAAATACTTTAGTAGAAAGACTGCGCGCTCATATTACAATGAATGGGAGAAAGTGTAACGCGTGATATGGCGAAATAAGTCCCGCCTTCTAAGTAAAATAACCTTTTGCCAGAGAATGTCTAATAGGGATTCGAAAATAGTCTTTGTTAAAGCGATTTGAAGCTTTTGAAAATCTGACAAATATTCAAAGGTACTAGACTGTGTACTTTAGGGAGGGAAAGAACTACAATCCCATGAAGCATTGCAAACAGCGTAATCGAATTAAAAACAACAGAGAAATATAAAACTACTCATTTACGGATTACATTTATAAAAAGAATGTATTTTTTAAAGTTTATTCCAAAATTATAGTGTATATACACAAACATTTCAGTATTTTGAGAGCCTAGGGAGATCGATTCGATTACATCATTCGCAGTGCTTCAAGGGAGTGGGCGGAGCTAACAAGATCTTTTTGACTCTGATTGGTGTAACAACAGCTGCCGTTAGAAGCTCCAGTTTCTATGGAAAGTCTCAGTTGCATGTAATGACTGCTGCTGCATGTATTGCCTGAAAAAGGCTGTTTTGATTTGAGTTTTTATGAGACAGTTGTTTTCAGATAGTCAACAGCTTTGGAATATTTGATGTTTCAAAGATGGCCGCCGAGTGAAATGACTTGCCTTTAAATGACTTAAAGGGACTTTGATATGAGGTCTTCAGAAGTCTCAGATTAAAAACAAAGCAAATATCTTTATTTCTCCATTTAAAAGTCAAGCCACATTTGATGCTATTGAAAGTCTGTAATAATGAAAGCATTTTAGCACATCAATTGACAAAAAGCTAATTTTAAACATCCATATCCCCGGATTATGTTAAATCTCATTTTGCAGTCATGCACACATATTTATGACGAGGAAAAAAATACAATATTTTTTAAAAACTGAATACGTCATAGCTGTCAACCTTCCCGTTTTTTCCGGGTTTCTCACGTATTTTAGCTCTTTTCCCGCTGTCTTCCCGTTTTAGTATTTTCCCGTAAAATATCCCGTATTTTTACGCTCTGATTGTGTTAACTCAGACCACGCAACTATCTGTGTGGCTTGCACTTGGGTTGCTGGACTTGCGCACCCAACGTCATTTTTGCCGCGCGCACCTTCGCGCTCGTGCGGAGCGTCGAGTATAAACAAGGCTTTCCGTGTCAGCGGCGCGCGCGCTCAGATTCGGTAAAGGAGCACAGATCTCTCCCAAATCATCTCCAGCAGTAGCAGCCTCTGAAGCACCACCTCCGTTTCCCTCGTAAGCTGATATTATATTTAAACAGATCTCTATGATAAAAAAATGTTTGTAAAAAATATTTTAATAACACGGTTTTGGCGGTTATAGTGTTCTAATGACGGTGTTCAACTATAACCATCGGTCTCACGGTTATATAATAACCGTCACACCCCTAAAGCCCCGTTCACACCGCCAGCGATTTTGTCGCTACATGTCGCTAGTCTCTGTACTGTGAAGTCGCTTGTGGGCGTTCGTAGTGCTGTCGCTCTAATGTTATTGGTTGACTGCACGCCTGGCCATATCTATACAAAATACCACCAGAAGTGATATATATACAACAATATCATTTTAATTTGACTAGGAATTAGGCTCAAAAGAAACAGTATGCTGTTGGGAGAGTGTTTTTATATTACCACAGCAGTGTTCAGTGGATTAAATCATTTACCAAATTAACGATCGATCAATCAACAAATTAAACTCACTCATTCCGTCATAAATGACTAAAACGTCATTCGAATTTGACAAATAATCAATTTTCTTGTCCCTAATAGTTAACATAATGCAGGGGAAACTGTAAAATGAACCGCAGCAGTGCTAAACTTGCATCACAAAATTACAACACTCGAACTTTAAATGTATGAATTAAACTCACTGAGACTGTCGACAGTTTCTTTTCCATGCCTCATTTTATTATATCCATGTATGTGGTTACAGTCAAATCATATAAACAGTGAAATCTCCCTCGAACTCCTCTGTCTTGCCTGCACTCGAGACGTGACGTGAGCTCCACTGAAAGTCTACTTTCCTATTGGTTGTCGCTCGCGAAAATCGCTTCACATTTGCATAAAGTTGAAATTTCTCAACTTTTGTCGCTTGTCTCTTGTCGCTTGACACGCCCACATTCTGTCGCCAACGGTCGCTGTCGCTCGTGTCGCCGGATGTCGCCAGCGCTCCATTGAAATGAATGGGATCATGTCGCTTTGTCGCTGCGTGTCGCTGGCGGTGTGAACGGGGCTTAACACACACACACACACTGTCTTTCTCTCTCTCTCACACACACACACACACACACACACACACACACACACACACACACACACACACACACACACACACACTGTCTCTTTCTCTCTCTCACACACACACACACACACACACACACTGTCTCTTTCTCTCTCACACACATAGTTATAAACTATTTAGACTGTTAATGATTAGTGCTTTTTAAAAAAAGTTTGTGGGTAAGAATCATGTAAAAAAAAATCCCTTATTTTGGGGATGGATTCCGGGAAATCTCCCTTATTTTCAATGTTCAATGTTGACAGCTATGGAATACGTTTTAATTTGTTCTTGTAATTTAGTGTGAATATGTTTATATTTTGGGAACAAATCATTGACAAAAAAATAGAAAAGTCTAAATTAAGATATGTACATTTCATTTTTACAGCATTGGCTGCACTGACATCTGTCTAAATTCCTGTGCTCCTCCTCCGACGAGTGGCATATAAAGCCTCACCTGTGGGGAAAAAAGGTTTGTCATGACATTATCATGAAGAAATATACTGTATGATCAATTATATATTTTGTAAACTGGCTCATACCCTTTTCTCCTTTCATTCCTGGGAGGCCTGGGTGGCCACTGGGGCCTGTATTGTACAATAGTAAAATTACAAGTTGAAACAAATATTGATAAATGATATCTGAACACTTGTCCATGCAAACAGACAATTTCAAGGAATACTCTGGATTAACCCTGTAAAGCCTGACATACTGTATTAAATAATAGTAAAAAAAATGGATTGGTTAATTGAATCTTTTTGACAATAAAACAAATGCATGTTTTGTTGAGCATCACATTTGATACTGTACATCAGCACTTTATGGCTCATATAGTATGATATAGTGAGAATATGGAGCTTAGAGGAGGAAGAAAAACACTGAGCAAAAATATGCAATTTGGTTCTTTTACTGATATTAATGTGGCCTAAAAGATAGCTTGTATAGTACATCAATGAGATCTTTATGAAAGTATAGCAGACGACTTGTATCAATGTCAGTTGTCACTTTATGTCTCCCATTAATATGTCTTAAGATATTTAAATGATCAAAGCTCTGTGGTTTTATTGGGGTGGGGCAAAACTTAATGCAATGCAATACAATGATGATATGATATAATGATGATGTATCATATTTGATACTCACAATTTCTAAAAATGATCAAGCTAACATAAGTTGCTTCAGTCCCTTGAAATATTAGTAACACTATAGAAGCTATTCTTATGTTTACCTTATAAAAATCAGTAAATATTTCACAGCAAAAAGGCATGTGAACCTCGACCTGAAGGTGGACATTTTTGTATAATTATACTAAAAAACCTTTTTACTTGTCAAAAAGGTGTGAAATAAGATGAAAGAAGGCACATTGTAGGTTATTCGGCAAAGTTTTGTTGATCATTTATGGTACGTTAATATACGACAACGATAGAAAAACACAAAAAACGACTAAAACACTGTTTATGCATGCCAGGCCAGTAATTAGCAATGTCACTTTGTAAAGAAAGACGGTAACACTTTACTTGAAGGGGTGTGCATAAGACTGACATGACACATGTCATGAATATGAAGGTTTTATGCAACTGTCATTAAGTGTCATTCGCTCAATTATGACATTTTTAATGCAAATATGACATTGTTTGAGATGTCTTTGTAATGACACCTTGACATAAACCAATACATCATAACCTGTCAGTGTCTTTGTCATGACAACTTGACATTACCAAGACAACACAACCTGTCATAAATATGTCATAAACATGACATAGCAGATTAATTATCAAACTTAAGAAACCACTTAGCTTCGTGGGTTAACATTACATTAAACTGTCAGGTGGTTGGTTTTGACATTGGCTGTCATGAGGCCATTATAACATTTTAATGACAAATTCAATTTGTTCCACTGTAGTTGAGGTCAAGAAAAATATTCATGACACGGTTATAATGGCCTCACGACAGCCAATGTCAAAACCAACCGCATGACAGTTTAATGTAATGTTAACCCATAAAGCTAAGTGGTTTCTTAAGTTTGATAATTAACTTGTTTATGACATATTTATGAAAATTTATGTTGTCTTGGTAATGTCAAGTTATCATTACCAAGACACTGCAGGTTATAATGTATTGGTTTATCTCAAGTTGTCATAACAAAGACATCTCAAACAATGTCATATTTGCATTAAAAATGTCATAATTGAGCGAATGACACTTAATGACAGTTGTCATAAACATGTATGAAACCTCCTTCATATTCATGACATGTCATGTCATGATTATGAAGGTGTCATATCAGTCTTATGCACACCCCTTGAAGTAAAGTGTTACCAGAAAGACTAACCGCCTGACATATTGTTAATACATTTTGTATATTGTATACAAAGTTGTATGTCATAAACATGTCATCTCTGTATGTTTTGCAACAACAAAATAAGCATGTCCCAGCCGGGTTCGTCACTTATTGGGGTCCCCTGGAAACATTTCGGTTGTGGTCTGTGTTATTTGCAGCATTTCTGTATTTGGTTGTGTTGTGAGTATTTGGAGCACACGTGTGTTGTAAAACTGATGAAGATGGTTTCTTAATTGCGTGTGTTTTTTCTTTTTGCATGTGTTTTCTTCAGTTGCAGCGCGTTGAGCTCTCTCGGCCATCGTAAAAACATCCTTGTCGTGTAAACGAACAGCCAAAACGCATAAAAAGTTTTCCGTTTTTAGTCGAAAACGGTGTTGTGTGAACGACCCCAGATGCCTTAGAATTTTTTTGGAATAAAACAATTTGAATATGTTTTCATTTATTTTAAATTTTAATATATTTGAAACCTACCAGATGCAGACATTTTGGTTATTTTGGTTAAAAATACGCAACGTTTGTTACTGAAGATCATCTTTTTGAGTAACTTTTCAACTTTTTCAACTTCTGTTTATGCATTACTGACGTAGTTTTTATGGATATGTTTCTTTGTGAACAGGTCAAGTCAATTCACTTCCTAGTATCTTCACACAGATACCAAATGAAGGTAACTAGGTTTAATTGCTTTGCTGAGTAATTTCATAAAGTCCGTGTGATAAATAGAACTTGTACCTCTCAGTCCTACGGCTCCTGGGGGTCCTGCGGGTCCTCGATGTCCCATCTCCCCTTTCTGCCCTTGTGGTCCAATCATATGGTTATCTGTAGAAATGATGCATTTGTAATTATATTTGTAAATTAATTATTCATATTAAATGCATACAATTATTTCTTTTGAACAAGTTCCTTCTTGCCTCTGATATAGTCCATGATTTCAGTCATGTTGGTCAGTTCTACGCTGATTCCTGGAGGCCCTGTTTCTCCTTTAGCCCCTGGTAGTCCTCTAGCCCCATGACGCCCTTCTGCTCCTGGTGCTCCTGGCATACCTTGGCCCTGTAACAGGCCATTAGCTGTGGAAAAATGCAAACACATAAAACTCATTAATTCCTTGTTCACATTTACCTTTATGCATTTAGCAGACGCTTTTATACAAAGCGACTTACAAAAGACAAACGAAAGCAATTTGTCAAAGAGCCAACAATATTCGTAATGCAAAATGTATTAAACTACTATTAGGAAGCAAGCTAGAGAAGAGAAGAAATGCAGATAAGAAAGTTTTCTGATATGCGTATGTGTGTAAGTGTATTTTAGGTCGCCACATGTAGCGTAACTCACACTTAATGTAATCTGCAACCTGTTTAGCGATGGCTGGATAATCCAAATTCTCGTCACCACTTGGGTGCCCTGCAGAAGTAAACAAACTGCCATTAAACTGCTGAAAAAAACACTTAAATACGAAATAGAGTTAGTAAACACTGTTCTTACTCTTGATGTACTCCTGACGCTCTGCACGGATTTGCTGTTGGTTTTCATTCACCGCGTAAGACACTATTCCTCCAGAGCTTCCTGGTGGTCCTTGAGGTCCCGGGGGGCCCGGGGGTCCTGGTAGACCTCTGAAACCAGCATCTGCAAATGTGATATAAAATCATTTTAATAATTGTAGCTATATAAATATAACCTTGATAATATTTCAAAGTGTGCAGCTGTGGTCGCCAACTCTTGAAGGGGGCGTTTCCCAAAGCCAGCTATGGTCGCAAGTTCTGTCCTTACTAATAGAGTTCTAGGGAACTTGCTAACGATGCTTTTGGGAAACGCACCCCAGAATAGTAGTTGTTGACAAATATTTTTAATGGCCAATCCCTAAACTATTACATTTGGTCCACCATATCCTGAAATGATTAGTCTTCAAACAACCCACAGCTTAAATCTGAACTGTTTCATATACACTAGCATTCAAAAGGTTGGCGTCGTAAAGAAAGAAATTAATATTAAGTACCACAACTGTTTTCAACATTGATATTTAATCTCGTTCTGTTTTGCCTGAGTTCTGTTTGCTAGTTAGTTTCTATGGTTTCTGATTGGTTTACGTTCACCTGTTGTTTCATTTTGTTAACTGTGTATTTAAGCCCTTAGTTTCCTCTGTTCATTTTCAGTCTTGTTTATATTGGAAGTGGTTTGATTCCTGTATTCTCCTGCATATTTTCCAAGTAAAGACTTTTGTTATTATTATATTTCCTGTGCCATGAGATTATTACAGCCACCAGCCCCATGTAACATGATAATCAGAAATGTTTTTTGAGCAGCAAGTCAGCAAATTAGAATGACTTCTGAAGGATCATGTGACAATGAAGACTGGAGGAATGATGCTGAAAATTCAGCTTTGATCAGAGGAAAAAATTATAATTTTAAAGAAAAGAGAAAATTAATAATGTTTCACAATATTATCAAATAAATGCAGCTTTGTTGAGCATTAAAGACTTATTTCAAAAACATTTAGAAAATCTTTTAAACTTTTGAATGGTAGTATATGTAACAGGTAACTCTGAAAGTGATCTAGGGCTAGGCGCTGTGACACAGGTGCGGATGATCCAGGACGTCCAGCATCTTTCCTACCGTTGATCAGATTCAGAACTCGTCCAGCAACTTCCTGAGTGTTAAAGCCATATCCACCTGGCACACCTGGGGGTCCTGGGGGCCCTGGAGGACCAATCAGGTACTGTCTCACCTCATCTCCTATATATGCACCAAAGAATGTGTGGATCCATCAAAATGTGTCATAAAGCACATTAGTTTTGAGTTACATGTTTATTAAAAACAAAAAGCAAGTAGAAAACAGAAAGGTTACACTTTATTTTCGATGGTCCACTTTAGACATTCTACTAACTATAAGTAACTGCAGTAACTACTTAATGACTCCTATATTGCAAAGTTACTTATAGTTATTAAAATATCTAAAGTGGACCATCGAAATAAAGTGTTAGCGACAAAAAAATAATGCCTGTAAAAGTTGCATCACCTGTGTCGTTGAACATTTCACACTTACTTTGAAGGTAATCAATGACACGGTTAGCCAGTGTATCATCAGAGGCTGATCCGGAAGGTCCCGGTGGCCCAGGTGGGCCTGGAGGTCCAGCCAGGTATTCTCTGATGGGTTCACCTACAAAAGACACATTAAATATTACTGTCATGGAGCTTATTTGCCCATTTATCTCTATGATTAGTTAAATGTGTAATTTGTAGTGGCTTTAAACCGAACTGGGACTTCTAAAGATCCTTTTCCACCCAAAAGTTTCCCTCACAATGCTAGCATGTTGGTAGCTGCTATGCAGTTGTTAAATGGATAGTTCAACCAAAATTCCAGACCTGTATTACTTTCTTTCTTCTGTGGGACACAAAATAAGATATTTTAAAAACTGTTGATAACCAAACCATTTCGGTTCTCATTGACTTCTATAGACATTAGTCAGGGTAGATATTTCATTTTTGACAGGAAAGAAAACAAGGCTGTGAGGGATATAAGTACAGTCCGTTCAATGGATTGTACAGTTGTTTAACAAAATAATGATTGTTCAGCTGATGAAACGTCTTTCCAAAAAAGTTTCAGAAGAGAAAAAAATCTGCAAAACAGTTGTGAAAACTATTTGATCTAGGACCATTAGCAAGCCATTAAATACTGTAAATGTATCCCTCACAGCCTCATTTCTTTCTGCTTTAAATACAATATGCCATCTAACCTGACCAAAAATTCAATGGAAGTAAATGGGAACCGAAACTGTTTGGACACCAACATTCTTCAAAATATCTTCTGTGTTTCGCAGAAGAAAGTCATTCAGGTTTGGAACAACATGAACTTGAACATCTCCATGAATTTCTTTCTAAATTATGAACATTTTGGGGTGAACAATCCCTTTAAGGTGTTCAGGGTAGTTTAAGAGAGTTGCTAGGTCGCATAAAATCTTTTTAAACATACTTCTGAGGTAGTCCGAAATCTGCTGAGCAACATCTGGTGAGCCGCCACTAGGGGAACCGGGTGCTCCAGGAGGCCCTGGGGGTCCAGGTGAACCTGGTGGTCCTGGAGCGCTTCTGGATCCTCCACCTTCACAAAACAATCACATGAAACTCTCTTTCTTTTACTAACGAAATGGTATGTGGTTTAAAACATTTCAAGTCAAAGCAAATATTCAAGCAATACACCAATTTGCCTACCGTAGGAATAACCTGGAATGCCAGGGGCCCCTGGGACTCCAGCATCACCTATATTTAAATAAAAAAATTAAAAAAATTGGTGCACGGATGTAGAAAAACTAACCATATTTAATTCCATTGTAATGGTTTCACTGTAACTGGAGGATTTTTTTTCCACATAGATATATGAAGTGAAGGCCAAATATGGCAACCCATACTTAAAATGTGTCCTCTGCATTTAACCCATCCAGTCTGGCTCTCTAACCATTAAGCCACAACTGCCCTGTGTGTATGTGTATTGTTTTATGTAAAAACTGTTTAAAAAGCCCTAACATAGAAATATTTTGTTCCATTGTACCTTTTGGACCTTCTAGCCCCATGGAACCCATTGGTCCTTGAGGTCCCTGCGGTCCTTGTGGACCCTCTGTACCCTGTTCTCCACGTGGTCCTGGTGGCCCTGGCTGTCCTGGAAAACCTGGATTCGGGGTAAAATAACGTGAACTGTGCAGCTATTGAAGAATGTAGAAACGTGTATGTTCTGTCTTATACAAATCTGAATCACTAACCGATTCCAGGTTCTCCAGGTAATCCAGGTTGGCCTTTAGAAAAAAAAAAGATGAAACAGAAGTATGCATGTAATCCACAAACGTCAGAATGTCATATTTATATATGTGTGATGGAATGTGTCAAGCTTACCAGGGAATCCTTGAGGGCCAATATCACCTGAACAAGAAACAAACATTAAAATTCATAGGATCTTAAGGAAAACCCAATGTTGTATATTGTCTCTATTGTATATTTAATCTACCTTGTGATCCAATGGGTCCAGGAGGGCCAGGCGGTCCAGCAAAGAAGGTTTCTGATTAACCACAAAAAACACAATCAGATCATTTTAAATACATAATGTAATAGGTCTCATTCACTAATAATCCTAATAATTGTGTGGATTTATTTACTGTATATGCACACGAGAACTTCTCTCAATTCAAACACACACATATAAGTGTGTGTGTGCGTGTGTTTGTGTATATATATATATATATATATATATATATATATATATATATATATATATATACACACACACACACACACACACACACACACATTTGCGTGTAGTTAGTGAATGAGACCCAAAATCTCAAAGAACCAAGTGTAAATTAACTCTAAAGCATTAGCATACCTGAAGTGGGTACAAAGCTTCCTGGTTCACCTTTTTCACCAGGAGGACCAGGTTGACCAACACCTGTGGAAAAACAAAATTAAACATTTATATAGTAACATAACAGAAATGTAACAAAACTGAATTAGGGACTATGTACCTGGTTTCCCATCGTCACCAGGAGGTCCAGGTGGTCCCGGTGGGCCAGGAGGACCACGTTCAGCAGCAGCTTCCTCTGTTCAATTTAGATTAAGAGCAAATGAATGATATAAAAGCACTTACAATGTACATTTTCAAAGTGAGCACACTTACTCCCTGCTCTCTCGGAGACTCCAGGCTTCCCATCATCTCCTTTGTCTCCTTTATCTCCCTTTGAACCTGTAGAGATTCAAATGTCAGTAAAAAAAAAAAAGAAAAAAAAACTTTTTTGTTTTATAGAACAAAAGTAATCTTACCAGGTGAACCAGGAAGACCAGCAGGACCAATAGGACCTTAAATAAAATAAAATAAAAACTCAATATTAGCAGGAACATACCACTGTTTAACTGATTCTTTTAATTTCATATTAAATGCATCTGAGATAATCCGTGATGAACTTCATGATACCTGATAGTCCAGGTGGTCCAGCAGGACCTGCAGTCCCAGGAGGTCCAGGTGGTCCAGGTATAGCCACAGTGTTTGTATTAGCGCCTACGAGGAGTGACCAGATGATGATGATGTCACCATCAATCGGCCAGATTAATAGACCAGAAGCTAACTAAATAAGCACCACTAACTCATTTTCATTTGAGTTCCCTTACCTGCAGAAATGACTCTTCCGGGCTCACCGGCATCACCTAAAGAGAGAGAACAGCACGTAAGATGTGGCAAGAGTATGTCTGTATATTTATATTTAATAAAAAGTAGAATAATGTATATATAAAATACACAATGTGATTAATATTATGGTTTTAAGGCCTGTTTATACCAAGAACGATTACTATAAAGATAACTATTAGGGTATCATTCTGTGTATTATAAGCACGCGCTGCAGTTTTGTCGTCTGCCGCTTTAAATGCCCGAGCTCTTTAAATAAGGACGGATTCTGATTGGATGTCAATGTTGTTATTGTTCATCATCTGGAAAAAATCGTTCTGAAAGTGATTCCAACTATGTCGTTTCTTATTTCCGTTATAGTTGTGGTGTGGACTCTGCTATTATTTTATATATAGAATGATTTAAAACATTTATTTTAGAGCTATATCTTTATAGTTATCTTCCTTGGTGTGAACGAGCCGTTAGAATTGAATTAAAAACATCTCACAAGAAATATTACCTTTGGAGCCTGGCTGGCCTGGGATACCTGGCAAACCTTTAGTTATATAAGGTACAAATAAATATCATTATCATTGTCTGTTTTGTGTCTGCAATTACTGTTGACAGTTTTTTCAGAAATACTAATAGATCTGTTGTGTTTAATATATTCAGCGCAGGAGAAGTGAAATCAAACCTGGTGGGCCTTGGAGTCCTGGTGTACCTGTGCAGGAAACCAGAAAAAGGTCTCCTTTACATGGTTTGCATTATTGATAAGTGTTAAAAAAAGTATGAAAAGCATCATCTATTCAGCCGTGGTGTGATTTTCTCTTCAGTTATACCTGGTATTCCTGCGTCTCCAGGAGGCCCCTGTGGCCCCCGAGCTCCAGGCAACCCAATCGGACCTTGGTCCCCTTGAATTTAAAAGAAAGAGAAAAAAAAAAATACATGATTGTATTTTTGTAGACACAGGCTAATGTTTTACCAAGTCTAAGTTTCAAAATTACCTCGAATTCCTTTAACACCATCTGGCCCAGGAGCACCTGTGGAAAATGAAATATGATATGTTATAAAATATATGATTTTTATATGATACATCACATACTGTACAGTCATTTTCAATCCAGATGTTCTTGTACACTACCATCCAAAAGTTTAGGGTCAGTGTTTTTGAAAGAAGTCTCTTCTGCTCACCAAGGCCGCATTTATTTGATCAAAAAGTACAGTAAAATACAGTAATATTGTGAAATATTTTTACAATTTAAAATCACTGAATTCTATCTTAATATATTTTAAAATGTAATGTATTACTGTGATGCAAAGCTGAATTTTCAGCATCATTACTGCAGTCTTCAGTGTCACATGATCCTTCAGAAATCACTCAAATATGATTAATCTGCTTAATATTTTTGTGGAAACCATGAAACATTTATTTTCAGGATTCTTCAATGAGAAGAACGTTCAGCATTTATTTGAAATAGAAATCTTTTGTACATTATAAATGTCTTTACTGTCACTTTTGATCAATTGAATGCATCCTTGCTGAATAAAAGTTTAAAAAATGAATGATTTATGAACAGAAGTGTATATTTATTTCTTATAGAATAGAATAAATCTTAATTGCATTGCTCAAGTTTCTCTTTCTGTGATGAGACCCACCTGCTGATCCTTTAAGACCTTTCTCTCCAGGAGGCCCTGCTGGTCCCACCAGACCTGGCTCACCTGTCAAAATAATATTATCATATTTTTGGAGATACCAATAATAACAAATGCTATATAGTTGTATGTTGTAAGATACTGTAACTTACCAGTGGTACCACGTGGTCCTCTCTCTCCTTGATCACCTAATTTAGTAATAGAAAAATCATTTCAATATAATTATCAGCATAAAAACTTAATAAGTATCTTAAAAACTGCTTTACTATTTGCAATATGTATCTCTGGCTTCTACCAACCTTTGACCCCAGATGGCCCAGCAGGTCCTTTATCACCTGAAAATATAAAAGATGATGAAAACAAATTGTTCGCATTAAATTCTCGATTGGGAAACTGTTGAGAAAAGGTAGATTTACCCTTGGGTCCAGGATCACCAGAATCTCCACGGAAGCCTTGGGGTCCAGGAGCTCCTGTCAGACCCGGTATGCCTTGAGCACCTGCATCCCCTGCAGAGACAAAACACATTTTTACCCTCAAAATGCAAAATGTATTCCCATCTTTACTAGCAAAGGCAGGATAAATATGAAGGAATTATTCGTCTGCCTCCTGAACCGGGATCATTTGTACTGGACTGCCATTTCTCTGCTTGTTTCTCACTTGTGTCTGTGAACAGATGGTCTCACCTTTGGGTCCCACGGGACCTCCTGGTCCTGCTAGCCCAGGTGCACCAACATCGCCAGAAGAGCCTGGGGAGCAAACGCAAAACAATTATCAAGTCATTTTTTTAAGCTGGTTGTGCAGAACGTGTTTAATTGCTTATAATTTAAAGCAGCACTAGGTTACTTTTCAACCTTCATAATATATTTCCAAGTCTCTTGTGATGGTACATCGACTTACAATAGGTTGAATGACACGTCTGCCATAGCCTGACGGGGTCTGTAGCGTTTTTAATCGTACTTTTAAACTTCGGGTTTCGGGTAGTAACCGGCGAACAAAGAGAACTACAAAATTCGACTGCTTTACGGCATATACGTCACTTCCACCACCACCCCCACTTCCTTAAAATTGGACGTGCGAGCCAAATGTTATAGTCATGGCCGAAGCAGCACAGAAAAACAAGAAACCAAAGGTTTTATCGGAGCAAAGCAAAAAGAGAAAAAGAGAAAGTGATCGCGTTAAAGGCAGAACGAGGATCAACATTGGGCCAGCATTTTCTCGCTGGCGTGAGCTGAAGGAGGAGGAGGGGTGCCCGACCGATGCGGACTTGGCAAAAAAAAAAAATAATCAAATGAAAGCCTGTGTCTAAACGGCGTGCACAAGTTTGGTAAGGGGCTACATTCTTGCAAGTAAATATATAAGATGTACAAAAATCATATTTTAGGATACCTAACATGTCTGTGATATTTCTTTATTTGTCTTGCCTCAAGCTATAATGCAAAACGATTTGTAAAATTTGCAGATTCATTTATGGTAGCTTGATATTATAATATAGACGATATATGGTTATTATCTACCACTCAAACATTGCATTGAAGTATCATATAGATCCAGTAAAACGGTAACCAATAGACTAGGCTACTATAATGACGCTGGCTTTTAAACGTGATAATCGCGATCATTTGTCGTTAGAAAAAAAATAAAACCCATGAAATTATATTCATATGACATGCTGAAATATATGCCACTGTACCTGGGATGAAGACATTTCACACGCGACGCAAGCAGAACACCTGCATGTGACCTCCTCCTACAGTGTTCAGGGCTATCCTGGTTGTCAACAATTGCACGTGCATGTAGGATGACAGAGTTTATGACAGTAGTAGAGGTCTAGAGGACAATACTGTTTCCCAACTGTAGGGGGACCCCACCTCGAGAGCAAAAGTTCCCTGGTGTTACTTTAACAGTAGCAATAATGTCAGTGGTATCACCTTTTTCTCCTTTCTCTCCAATTCCTGGAGGTCCCGGTGCTCCTCTGGGACCCGCTGGCCCCTCCCGCCCCCTCGGCCCTGGTAAACCATCAGTTCCGGATTCACCTATAAACAGTACAAAGAGATGTTTTAGGTCACCTTTGTCACATGTGAGCATCGCAAAATCAGTCTTAAGTTGTAATTGACTGGTAGAAGTTTAGTGTCTCTGGCTCTGTATCATACCTGAACTTCCTTTGGGCCCTCGAGGGCCTTCCTGTCCAGGGTGACCAATGAGACCATGAGGACCTGAAAAGGACACCCTTGAAGTTTATTTATTTATGCTCTTCTGGTAAGTACTTACCAAATCAATATTTCAATAATCATTTATTTAATACGTGTAAAATGTGAGATACTGATCCACGATCAGCCAGTCCGTTTCTTAGCTTTTTTGTTTGTTTATTTGTTGTTTTTTCTAGTAGAAATGTTGTTTCCTAAAGTGTATCGAATATCGTAGTTGTAGACTTTAATGTTTTGTATTCTTCATTTCACTAAGTTAAAGTGCAAAGGATGTGATGTTTGTCATAAAAAATAAAATATAAAACATTACCTGGAATTCCGGGAAATCCTGGTTCACCTGTAAAATGATTCGATATAAATTTGATATTTTCATAATATTAAATGATATAACTGTAATGTATATTAGTGATACATTTGTGATATTAGGCTATGTGACTGTTGTGATAATGTGTGACATTCTTGTGATATAATCGTGATACTGTTGTGATGTGATATAATTGTGCTACATTTGTGATATTGATATATTTGTGATATTTTTGTGATACTGTTTTAATAATCTTGTTATATTTGTAATTTTTGATATATAAAACTTGAGATAATGAGTGACATATTTAAATACATTTTTGATGTGATGTATTTGTGATATTGTTGTGATAATATGATGATATACTTATGATTGTACGTGATAATGCGCCATTATTGTGATATATCTGTGATATAACATTTAAGATGTTATGTGATACTGTAGTGATGTGTGACATTGTAATATATGTGTGACATTTATATATTTATGCTATTTTATGTGATACTGTTTTGATAATATTGCTATAATTGTGATACGTTTGTGATGTTATGTGAAACGGTTGTGATAACGTGTGACATTGTAAATATTTAGATACATTTCTGATGTTTTGATATGATATATTTGTGATTTTATGTGATAATGTGTGGCATTATTGTGATATGTCTGTGATACATTTCTAACATCACTGTGCTATATTTGTGATATATCTGTGATACATTTATGATATTATTGTGATATACATGTTATAATGTGCATGTGCAATTATGAAATTGTACTTCAGAATGTCACAATAGTGTGTTTTTTGTTTTGTTTTGAATACCTTTAACTCCAGGAGGTCCTTGGTCTCCTAAAATTAAATGTACATTAAATGTACGTATTAGCAAATCTGCATTCACACTTTTCACAGTATACTATCTACGTATTAATCTGTAAATATTACCTTTAGGGCCAGTTTCTCCTCTCTCACCCCTAAGTGAAGTTGCCAGTGAAGCTATAATGAAATCATTAAAAAAATGAATGATTAATAAATGTTAACTGATTAAATGTATGTTCAGAGTGTATGTATGGTAAACACCTCTAACGGTGTCTGACTGCAGTTCAGATCTGAGGATCTGTTGAATGGTCCTCTGCAGGACCAGAGGGTCTTGTGCAGCAGGTTCTGAACCCAGGTTTATAGTGTTATCGGCACGGACACCGGAGATGCGCTCGCCGTATGAAGACTCCAGTGGATCCACGATGTTGACAGCCGAGGAGGAGGACAAGCGACTGGTTCGAGCAGAGCCTACGCTTCCTCCACCATCAAGAGCGTCCACACGAGCCTTCAGCTTCCTGACCTCCTCGCCTACACAGAGAGAAACAGGATTCATGATGAAGGAATCTAAAGTACAAGCTAAATCAGTTGGTCTAGACGTCTTGAGACGTAATGTACCCAGTGCGATGAGACCACAGAGGAGTCCCAGCAGAAGGAGAAGACCAATAATCAACGCCAGAAGCCACTTCCACCACGAGCAGCAGGAACAGAATCCCAGTCCTGTGTCGTCCGACTCATCTTTACGGATCTCTGTTGTGACATCAGAACATGAGTAATATGAGCAAAACCAGATCCATAATGTCTGCTTATTCATTGCTGAATTTGATATATTGATTTTCAAATTTCGGTAACACTTTATTTTAAGGTGCTTGTAATAAGCAGTAATTAACAGTTAATAAGACACTTATAAGACCTTATAAGATGCATATAAGATGCATATAAGCATTAACTACTTCATATAAGGGTTAATTAAAGGTCCAGGCTCTGAAGAGATCAGGGAAACTACTCCCTCTTGGGAAGGTCAATTTTTAAGGGACTGGGAGTTTGTGTTACCACTTATGTTTGTTCGGCTGTTCTAAAAGTGCAATGTATTGATACTTGAGAAATGTATTATTTAATTTAATTTATTTATTATCATTAGTTAATGCTTATATGCATCTTATAAGGTCTTATAAGTGTCTTATTAACTCTTAATTACTGCTTATTACAAGCACCTTAAAATAAAGTGTTACCCAAATTTCTATAAGACATATACCTGCATAGGTTGCCTTGTCTTTCGTTGAGGCTTTGGAAGCTGGAAGCACATTACATGTCGGTTTTATTGGATGTAAATTAAGTGAGGATTGATTTATTAATGAAATAATATCCAGTGAGTGACTTTATCTGAATGTACCAGTGGTGGTTTGCATGGTGCTCGAGATCATCTTTTTCTCCCTCTTGAGTGAATCTTCAGAAAATGTATCTGTAATATAAGAAAAACATTTATTGTCATTTGTTATAAAAATGTGATTTGCCAATCATAATATATTTCTTTTTTGTTCATTTTAAGAATATACGCTACAGCTGAAAAGAGTCTGTAACACAACATTTTTGAAGGAAATCTCTTATGCTCACCAAGGCTGCATTTATTTAATCAACAATACAGTAATATTGTGAATGTACAAATTGAAGATAACTGTTTTTAATTTGAATATTTTCAAATGTAATTTATTCCTGTGATGCAAAGCTGAATTTTTAGCATCATTACTCCAGTCTTCAGTGTCACACCATCCTTCAGAAATCATTTAATAAGCAGATTTGATGTTCAAGAAACGTTTATTTTTATTATCAATGTTGAAAACAGTTGTGCTGCTTAATATTTTTGTGGAAACCGTGAGACATTTGTAAGGTTGATGAATAGAAATGTAAAAAAAATAAAAAAAAAACATTATAAAAAAACATTATAAATGTCTTTACAGTCACTTCTAATAAATGTAATGTGTCCTTGCGGAATAAAAGTATTTCTTTCAAAAATGTTTGAATGGTAGTGTATATTTAACTATTTTACCCAATCCAACTGGAACAATTACACTTTTTACTAATTAAATGACTGATTTAATCTAATTAATAACTATAATTAAGCTGAGTTCAAATACTGTATCTAGTGTGAGCTGTCTACCTGCTCCAGCACTGGTGGTGGAACTGACGAACTGTTTGCCAGTGTTTTTGGACATGATCAGTCTCTCAGTCTCTTTCTTAGCCGCTACATTATCTTTCCCAATCGCAATAAACTTGCCATCTTTCACAAACACATCATCAGAGGTGATAGGGCTGCTGGGAACAGCTGTAAATGTCATATAAAACAAAAAAGAACAAATTTAATTTGGTAATACTGTATTGTTTTAATCTTTTAAACATTGTTAAGTCATTTTTTAAAATCATTATTACCAGTAAAATTGGTGCCCAATCCAGTGCTGCCAACATTCTTCGGTGACCCATACACTGGAAGTACAAACAGGCATAATGAATCTCTTACTGTAGTTATTGTGTATGCATTACGTCAGTGTATAACAGTTAGCAAGGTTCGGTTTACCATGGCCAACACTCATTCCATTAGCCATGAGAGCACCGCCAGATGTTGACAGGTTATTCTGCATCCCATACACTGAGAAGAACAGAAACACAGAGGGAAGCCATCAGGATCAGGTACTTATTCATTTTCATGAGCTCAAAATTAGAGTTTGTTTTTAGTGCATGAATCGATGAATGTAATGACCTGCACTACCAAGGGGAGATGAGCTGAGGGTCCGATTATTCTGCATGCCACCTGAAACAAACAACACAGTGGCAATCTCTCTCTTTCTTCCTCCTATTATTTTTCATTTATCTTTTAATTTAACTGATCCTTTCAACTTTGACACACAGAAATACATGCACACAGACACTCTTGTTTTCTCTGTGTTTAACCTGTGAGTGATGGTTGTTGCAGTGTGGTGTAACTGAGATTGTTTGGGTTGGTGTAATATCCACTGAATCCAGCATCCAGGACTGAGCCGTCACAACCTGAAAGACATGTATTAGTGTCGAAGGACTATGGCAAGCCGTTTTAACTTTTATTCATTTCCAGGATATGAATTGTTGATATCAAGAATTACATTTTTTGATATCAACAATTCAATTTTTGATATCAACAATTGTGTTTTCACTAGTGAAATGTCACCATAGGCTGCCATTCAAAATCAATTGTTGATATCAAGAATTGATTTCTTACTAGTAGAAATATAATTTTTGATATCAATAATTACATTGTTACTAGTAAAAATGCGAATTCCTGATATCAATAATGAAATTGTCACTAGTCTAAATGTCTATTTTTGATATCAACAACTGAATTGCTACTAGTAAAAATGTTCATTTTTGATATCTGAAAATGTATTTCTGATATCAATATTATTTCAGATATCTAAAATGGCTTTCTTACTAGTAACAATCACATTCATGATATCAGAAATTAACATTGTCACTAGTAAAAATTGAATTATTGATATAAAAAATGAACATTGTTACTAGTAGCAATTCAATTGTTGATATCAAGAATAGACATTTCAGCTAGTGACAATTTAATTCTTGATATCAAAAATAAAGGTTTTTACTAGTAAGAATTGTATTTCTGATATGTGAAATTGGAATTTAAACTAGTAAGAAATCAATTCTTGATATCAAGAGTTGATTTTGAATGGCAGCCTATGGTGACATTTCACTAGTGAAAATACAATTACAGATATCAAGAATTATAGTTTTAACTAGTGAAAATGTAAATGTTGATATCAAGAATTACCATTGTTACTAGTGAAAATGTCATTCCTGATATCCAAAATTGCCATTGTTACTAGTAGAAATATTATTCCTGATATAAATAATTATCATTTTAACTAGTGAAAATGTAATTGTTGATATCAAGGATTCATATCCTGGAAATGAATAAAAGTTAAAACGGCTTGCCATAGGCTATGCGGTGTGTGTATCACAGAATATCTGTACGCGTGAGTGGGTGTGTGTTACCTGACTGGCTGTCGTGGCGGGTGTCCACGCTGGCTTTTTTCGGGATAGGCAGAGTGTTGGTGGGAGAGCGAGGTGGACTGATGCTCCCGGAGCGACTTCCCTTCAGTAATCTCTTTACATCATCCAGCTCTGTCCCTAAACACATAAAACTATCATTCATTTTCTGAAACTAAAGGCAACAAAAACTTTTGAACGTGTAATTATATCCTCATATATAATCAATATATAATTCAAAAAAGATTAAATGAAAAATATATATTGAACTGTACATATGTGGTGCAACTGAAAACATTTAGCAATTTCAAAGTATTTGCGTAGTAAAGCAGATCCTGTGTTACACTATTGAACATAAGCAACACTGACATCTAGTGGAGGGTGAAGCACTCTGCAATCTGGCTCTGATCTCACTCTCTGGAAAAGACAGCATCACAACAATAACATTAAGATTTTAAAATGAGAATTAAATTGAGGATAAGTTCTTTTTACATTTGAAGTTCAAGTTTAAGACTGTTGTTGGGAAGTTTGTGAAACTACGTTTTATTTTATAAATACCTCGTGTCTGAGTGCGCCCTCTGGTGGCAACGCTTGACGAACCTGCAAATAAAAAAGAACCAAACGCTGAAGCAGAATTTTGATGAACGCAAATTTCAAGGATGAAACAATAAATTAATAATAATAATAATAATAATAATAATAACTAGATTTTAAAGTCCGTCGAGACAAACTTAACTTTTTAACATTTAAGTAGGCTATAGCGTAGGCTACATATTAACATTTGTCTTGCTTGATTTTTGAAAAATGTCTAGGCTACAGTACAGAGGTAAGAAAACTGCACTAGAAGGCCTATGTGATTTCATATATCTTTTCGATAGATTCCCCAGACAGCAACATAGTGTCGATCCACACGGTTTTTGTTTGGTTAACTGAAATTCTGATTAATCATGAATTTCTTTCATTTTGTATTTTAAATTACAAATGGTGTTTTTTTTTCTCTCCTGAAATTCACACCAGCCCCAAAACAAAATACTAAATGGACGTACCGTACTCTTTCTTTGTGTATTCAGGGGAGGAATTGCCACTGGAGCCCCCTGTTTAATATAACATACAGTACATACAATATATTAATTCTGTTTCTGTTGACTATAATGTATACTTAAACTAATATCAACAATTAAACATACTGTGTGAGAGTCCTCTCATTTTAAATCAATATAAGGTCAGAGGTCATGGTCTCTAACTTACCCTCATATCCTCCAGTGTAAAGGTGCAAACTGGTTTTCCTCTCAGCAGGAACTGTGCTGTAACTCAAACCTTTCCTTGTTCCACTAGGAGACGAGGAGCTGAACTTGGTGACAGTCATGGTGGAAGCTCCTCCGGCAGACATGACTGCAGAAGAGCCAGCACCACCTCCTCCACCCCTGGATGTGTTCATACTACCCCCAGAAGCACTAACAGAACCGCCCGAAGAACCAGACGCAAACTCAGAGGACGAGATGGACCCGAATCCAGAAGAAAGACCTCCACCCGTTGCTGAGGAACTGCCACCTGTCGTGATGGAGCTAGAGACGCCGCTAGAGCTTTTAACCACAGAACTAGAGCTTTTAACCATTGAGCTACTAATCGGACCGGTTACACTGATTTCACGAGATAATCCGTCAAATCCACCAATCACAGATCCAGCTCCTGAACTGCTACTTCCAGAGGAAGAGGCTGGAGAGAAGAAAGAACAACTCAATAAATACTACAGATATTTCATATATATGAGGAGAAACCAAATAATGGAGAATATTGTGCTGATGATAACCAAAACCTTTATGTCGGTTCCAAAATATTTCAGATGAAAAAATGATTGGTTTAAAGTTTCTTTCATGAATTTTGAGTAAATATTGCTGAAAATAAGTGTTAATTGAACCAATTTCCTTTACATTTCCTGCATAGATTGTTGAAACCATAGATATCCATAATAAAGGCTAGATGTCTTACGGCGGAGTCTCTATCGTCATCACCGGCGGCCATCTTGTCACAGGCAAGCTTTCTGGCGATCTCTGTGGTACGTAAGATGAGTGATCAGCACAAACACAAATACTCTTATCTCGTTGAAATCTTGACGGATTTACAAACGGTTTGGTTTCTTACAAACGTTATTAACGTGGCTATAATTCTGGATGATTATTTATTTATACACTTATTATTCATAAGTATGCAGTGTCATAACTACATCTCTGACGTTTATAACAAACCAAACCGTTTGAAAATCGGTAGGAAATTGATCAAGTTATGGTTATTTAAAAAGTACATGCACCATTAAAATACAATGTTACGAGTGAGCGAGCTGCCTGTGACAAGATGGCCGCCAGGTGAGGACGTCGACCTCCATTGGCCAGCAGCGCGGACGAGACATCTAGCCTTTATTATGGATATCTATGGTTGAAACTGGATGATTTCTGGACTCACAGGATATGACATAGCTTCTGGAAGCGCCGCCTTCAGCACTGGTCTGAGAGATGATCTTCTTCTCCAGCAGGACAGCTGAAGCTCCTCCAGAGCCGGAGCTGTTCACTATGGAGGTCACTACCTGTTGGCCGCTCAGGGAGCTGCTGTTCCCCTCTAGTGGGAGAGACACCAAATAACACTCAGCAGGGACGGAGATTGAACTGTTCTACAATAAAGAGAATGACACAATCAATGGTTTTTAATGTGATGCAATTTTAAATTGCAGTTTAAACATACTTGGCGGTAGAGATGTCAGTCTTGTGGTCGTCACAGTTTCGGTATGTTTCTGGATGTCTGTAATTTTTAACATCATTCAAATTAAGGGAGTTATAGCCAGTACATCATATTTCCATGTACGTTTTACTACGGTTGTGTCGAATTACTGTTGTAAGAATGCTACATGTAAGGATTTTCAACGCATTCTCATCCCAAGGCGTCATATACTGACGCTTTTGCCAAAGCGTCTACATCCGACGCACATGGAAGCCTACCCTTTAGCGTCAATATAACACGCTTCGGTTATGGGTAGGTTTAGGTCTGGGGTAGTAGTAGGGTTAGACCACTAGGAGGCGCCATATATCTGCGTCTCATATTGACGCTAAAGGGTGCCATGTGCGTTGGATATAGACGCTATGGCAAAAGCGTCAGTATATGACGCCTTGGGATGAGAACGGGCTGGGATTTTCGGTTACACCTTATTTTAAGGTGACGTAGTTACATTGTACTTACTCAAATACTACTGAGTAATATTAAAATATCTACTTTCTATAGAGTTGCGGTTAGGGTTAGTTACTTGTAATTATGCACTTTACTGTTATTGCTATAGTATAGTAAGTACATAGTAACTCTTTTGGGGGGCATGGCCCACGAATGCCCTCCCCTGGCGCCAGCCCTGAGATTAAACGCACAGAACATTTTTACACATTCACCTAAGCAGCAAACTTAATGGCCACCGGTGTCGCTAATAATAAGAGTTTCTGAATTCTACATATAGCTCTTGTAATTCTATGAGAGGAAAAAGTGTTTTCCACATTACCTTTTACAGATCCTCCAGATCCCCCCTCTACTTTGACAATCTTGGTTGTGGTTAGCTTGTCCATTCCATGTTAAATACTGTAAAGCAAAGACTGACTATTATCAATAAAATAAGATCCTTTTTTTTTTTTTTTTTTTTTTTTTAAGCATGTTATTGGTGCTATAGATTAGCATTATTAACACAAAATGCTTTTCAAAGAATACAAGCATAAGAAAAAACGAACAACGAAGGACTGATCACCTCATCAAGATTTCAGACATAAGCATATCCTTAGAAATTGATTTACAGCCCTGTTAGAGTATAATTTTAGCTTCCAGTAAATATCTGTATCTTTCTTTAAACCTTTAAACTTCTGGTCTGGCTTTTTACAATATGCAACACTTTCGCTTCAGAACCACAAAGAGTTTAATGCCTATTATTTATTTTTCTTTGTCTTCTAGCTCACACTTAAACACTGATTTAGCAACTTATAATGTAACCATGCAGAGAAAAAAACAAATAACAACTCAACTCAACCCTATACAGCCAAAATGTTTTTTTTGCTGAACCGAAGTTGCTCTACAAATGCACAAATTGGTATTGAAATAACATATAAAAGCAAATTTGTGAAACCAAAAAAAAAACAAAAGCATCAGAAAACAGACTGACAGAAAATGACACTTACCACTTTATGTCTCATTTACCGTCTCATGTCAAATAGTCTAGTATCAACACACTGATGTTTTGCAGTTCAAGTTCAATCACAGAAAGATTTTTCAGCTTGGATTTCAAGCCTTCTTAACACATCTGGAGCCAACAAGTTTAAACCTGAAGTTTTCCTGAAGGCAGTATGTACAACTGACACATAATACCGTACTGTATGTAGGATTTGAATTCAATTATTTCTGCGTTTTCTGTGAAAGGTCACCTTTATGATCAGCTCTTTCATTTCTTAAATACATTAGAAGTCTTGCTTATACTTCAAAGTTACAAAGTCAGTCTCCTTAAGTTCTAGCTTATGCTTTAGGAGCATCCCAATAACTTTTAAATAATAACAACAAAAAAATAGATTTAATTTAGTGTCAGTTCGTTTTTTGTTAGTAAAGTGAGTTTAAATTGATATTTTTGTAAGTTTTTTAAATATAGTTTATTAAATAAAAAGTAAACGATGCAAAGGATGGATTATAAAACTAATTGATTCAATGAATGAGTAAATAAAAAAACAACAAAAAAATACATTCAATAAATGTATATGGCTTGAATCAATCAGTTTTATAATCCTTATATATATATATATATATTATTTTTTTAAAGATATATATACACAGTATATTCTTATAATATAAAGGGTATGAATAAAATATGAAAAAATCTATCTATTTTCGATTGCAATATGGCAATACACCATGGTATATCACTCATAGGTGAATAGACATGGCCATGTTAAATGAGACCACATAACAAACAGCATATTTTAGTTTGTACACTGTAAAACCCAACAAGTTAAGCTAACTCATTTCATTTGAGGAAACCGATTGCCTCAATTCATTTAAGTTTATAAAAAACAATAGCTATGAGTACTCTGAACTTATTTCAGTTGAGTTCACTAAAAGTAGATATTGCAGTCAAGAAATTAAGTGATTGTTGAGCATTAATGATGAACACCTGCTGTTAACATCACTGAAGGAAAGAGAAACACAAGAACTACAACTGACTTCCAACCACAACATTAGATTTAATCAACTGAAGATAAAATATGTTTAAATCTCTCAAGATCTCAGCAGAGGAGGATTGAACAACTCCACAAACAGCATTACCACACTCTAAAAAACGATTCGTTGGCTGAACAACCATTACTTATAAAAGTTATTAGATTTAACACAAAAAATTAAGTATTCATAACTTTTCAACCTCTACTTAACATATTTAGTGTGTGTAACACAAAAATATAAGTAACTAGGTGAACTTAAATGTATGCATAAATAAAATGAAAAAACATAAGTCATGTCAACTACTATAATAATTGCTTCAAAATTAAGTAAATCGAGCATAACATTTTAAGTAACTATACGAGCCACGTGATATGCAATTTCCCGTGATGCCTTTCCAGCCAAAAATTGGAGCCATTTTGTGAAGCACATATGTGAAGACGCTGAAAAGAGGTAAGCTTAACTTTTTTAACTCAAGGTACACTCAATCGTTTATTGCATTTTTGGTCAAGAAACTAACTTTTAAACTGAATTTCAGAATTGCTACGAATTTTGCATCAACAATTAGAAACGTGTTACGAACACCTATGTTGCCTATAGTCTACAAGTTAATGTATGAAATGAGTGACTTTGCACGAGAGTATATTTGAATTATTAAGCAAGTGTGCTTCCATCGAATAGGCTATCAAGTGTCAAGTGTTTATAGTAGTCAGAGTATTTATTGTGTTTTTCGAAATATATGACCATGACGGCACGTATGCATTAATGGTGTGTTCACAATAATTTGCGCGAGTAGATTACAAAGTCAATCCACGAATAGACGCACGAAGACACGAATAGACGCATCATTCGCGCCGGGCGTCGCGAATGACGCGAATTGGGTGACGCGTTTGCCGCGAACGTCTTCCACGCAAGTTGAAAAATTTGAACTCGAGCAGATTCAAGCGTCTAACTAGACGCGATAGACGCGTATTTGACGGTCTATTCGCGTTCGGTTTGAACACACCAGGACAATTCGGACGGCGCTTTCCCCCACGGATAAATTCGTAGGCCTACTTTATTAACGAAATGTAGTTGTCATTTATTATATGCAGGCTATGAGTTTTCGGATTAAAAAAAATTCACTTTGCATATTTACAAATTCCCATATATTCTATTCTCTAATATCTATAAATGGATCGCGGGAAAGGGGGGCGGCCAGGCCTTGGGCTCGGGTTAGCCTACTGGTAACGTTCGTTAACATACAAATATTAAATTCGAAAACACATTGGCTACAGCTCCGTGTGCACGATTTATCATTAAATAATGGCGATCTTGATTCAAACACAATATTATTCCTAAATGACAGCTACAACCCTGTCTATTAAACCTTCAAAATTATTATCAAAATAAGTAAATACCCTTTAAGCAAAAGTTTGGCTTCAAACAAAGATTGTAGATCTTTATTTACTGTTTGGCTATTCCAGTAGTGACTGTTAAAATGTTTTGAAGAGATTCGTTCAAAACCTCTGTACCAAAGTCTTTACTTAACTTGTTTTGTTTAAATTAATAGATATTATTTAATAGACTCATTTTTATATTTATAGGCATTTAATAATGGACTAATTTGTAACATTTAATTATTGTTTTTTTCTTTTTAGATATATTTTTGATAACCAGAAAAAAATGTGTGTATATATATATATATATATATACACACACACACACACAACCAGTAAGATTGTTTAATGTTTTTAAAAGAAGTCTCTTCTGCCCACCAAGCCTTCATTTATTTGATCCAAAATACAGCAAAAACTGTAATATTGTGATTATTATTATTATTATTTTTACAATTTAAAACAACTGTTTTCTATTTGAATATATTTTAAGATGCAATTTAAAAGTTTTGGGTCAATTAGAACTTTAAAAAAAAAAAAAAAAAAAAAAAAAAACTTTTATCCAGCAAGTATGCATTAAATTGATAAAAACGTGACAGTATAGACATTTATAATGTTGCAAATGTAAGAGGCTGTAAGAGATTTATTTTATTTTAAAATATAAAGGTACATTTCTTTCTCATTCTGTGTTTCAATGCAATTGATTTTTTGCAACAGTCTGAACAATAACAAGTGATGTTGCAAGTAAATGCAGATTTCCTGTTTTTTTTTTTTGATGTTTTTTTTTTTTTATACTCATAGGAACGAAGAGGAACTGGAACATCTCACATTGAGGATCATCACGAAAGGTGGCTCAGCAGATGATCCTTTACAGACTGGGGTAACGCTGGAAGGCATAGAGGTGATGAGTCACGAACGCTGTGCTAAGTGAGCTGGTCGATAGGAATTATGTTTGTGAAACTAATTACATGGAAATGCACGAATTATATCTGTTTATTAAAATAGTTTCTTCCGGAAACAACGGACCATATTATGAGATTCCAAGTCACAGTTCATCTCACTTAGCACGGCGTTCGTGGCTCGACTGGTCGAGACTGTTTTCCAAGATGGCTCCTGCCTGTATACGCGTAATGTACTGTCTTTATAAAGTATCTTCTTATTAAACTGTCTGTACACTTACAAAGTTCTCAATGCTTCGGTTTGCATGTAGGGAGGGACCCTCATTATGTTACCGTGTTAGTGTGGGGCTATTTTGAGCCTTGTTATTGGTATTAACTAGCGATTTACTTTTGCTTATTCCATGCCCCATATACTAGCGTTATAAGCTAAATAGTTTTTAGAGATAAAACTCTACGTACATTCGATTATCATGAAAACGCATCCCAGAGAACGATCAACTCGGTAACCATGTGTTAATTACCCCTAGGTTCATTTTTCACCGGAATTGTCCTTTAAGAGGTTTTTTGTATGTTGCAAAAGTAAATATTGGAAAAATGTAAATCTTTTGAGAACTGTTGCAAAGGTGAAAAAGTGACCTGTTAAAAGTGATTTTCCATTTGTCGATTTGTCACATTTTGTTACATTTCATGTGTGGTTTCAGGCTTTCAAGCCTTTGGCAAAAAAATAAAAAATAATAAAGTTAAATGCTTTATTGTGTGTGATTTGCATGTTTAATTTATTTTAAGACATTGAATGTACTGGAGCAGTGCAGTTAGCAGACCAATAGCTGAAGATCTAAAATAAGTTAAAATGGTTGGTTCAGCTCATTTAATTGTCTTATTTTTATATACAAATGGGCTTAAATGTTAAGTTAACAGAACTAAGATTTGTTTTGATCTCACATGGCCTGCACTGTGTTTGATTTACTTAAAATGTATATGCACCATTTTTGCATCATACTTTTTAAGTAATCCCAACTTGGAATTATTTTACATAAAATAAACAAGAAAACCTTTGTTATATGTACTTAAATATTTGAGTTCACATAACATTCTTTACTTAAAAATATATGTAACGTGATGCATATATTTTTAAGTAAAGAATGTTGCGTGAACTCAAATATTTAAGTACATATAACAACAGTTTTCTTGTTAATTTTAAGTAAAATTATTCCAAGTTGGGATTACTTAAAAAGTATGATGCAAAAATGGTGCATATATATTTTAAGTAAATCCAACACATCATTTTTTAGAGTGCAGCTTCACTTATTACTAACCAGTTTGACTTTTATCATGCGTCTACAGAAGGTGTTATTGTGAATGAACAGAGGTTTAGATGAAGATGATTTATTGAGTTTCATTTAAAGACACCATGATAGTGGTCAGTGTTTGCTTTAGTTGGGCTCTTGACCCTTGACTTTACAACAACAGGTTTTCCTCTGCCTGCTGTAACTGAGTGTTTATATAACACATTTGTTATGGCACAAAAGCCAAAAGAAAATTTTATTTTTGATGATGATTTATGGAATGATGAATCATCATTTGGTGTCTTGATTCTCTGATCTTTTCTAGAGAATAATCTCTGATTAAACAGGTGATATAACTTGTATTATTCATTATATAAGAACTGTGATTCTGCTGTAAGGCCCATTGTTGTTACAATCAGATTTTAAAAACCTCTATGGTATCATGCTGACTTACACAGACATCAATAATCAGTATATGAATCTCAACAATGGTGACCATTACAAAATAATTCATGCTGCAATGCATGCTGGGAGCCATGGATAAGGTTTGTATTATGGTAGTACCCAGCATGCATTGCAGTAAGAATCGCTTTTAATGGTCACCATTGTTGAGATTCATATGCTGAATCTTGATATCTGTGTTAGCTTTGGTAAGGAATTACATGTTCTGAAAAATCCTTTATACTATCTGATAATCATAACATTGCTAGTTCTTATGTTGTAGAATCTTTGTTTCGAAAACAACTAATAATATAATCAAACGTCAAGGGTCAAGAGCCCAACTAAAGCAAACGCTGATCTCCATCATGGTGACCTTAAACGTTTTATTTCTTGTGTTTCTCTTTCCTTCAGTGATTCTGCTTTTTAACAGCAGGTGTATACAATTATTATTCAATTAACATTCTGGGATCTAGAAATGTTCTATAACTCATTCAGTTTGAGTTATGTTTCAGTCATTCAAGACACTTCAAGTTTCGGTATTATTTGAGTGCAGTGAACTCAGTTTAATTGAGTGAATATTACTGTTAGGTTTTACAGTGTATGTATAAATAAATTCAATATTATAATTATGTAAATAATATAAGTATAAAATAAAAAAAGAAAACCTTTGAATTAAATACAAAATTAAATATTTTGAATGTGAAAGACATATTTTCCGGAAGTGAGCATATACCAATCCATCCATAGATATGTTCATCCATCCATCCATGCATTCATCTATCCCCAATCATCTAGACCTTTAGCACCTGCTAATGCCATGTTTATCACCATCATGATAATAGTCATCATTACAGCCGCGAAACAGTGATGATTCGTCCTGATTTTCCTTTGGATAATGAGTCATTTATGAATGGCAGTGAAAGACACACTGAGCTGCAGTTATGAATCTGTTATACAACTAAATTACAGCTACTAAACCCATGTTAATTAGTGTTTATGTATGTGTGTGTGTGTGTGTGTGTGTGTGTGTGTGTGTGTGTGTGTGTGTGTGTGTGTGTGTGTGTGTGTGTGTGTGTGTGTGTGTGTGTGTGTGTGTGTGTGTGTGTGTGTGTGTGTGTGTGTGTAGCTTGTTCTATAATGCATTTGTGGTTGCCTGACATTTTTTCTGTCATCATGGTTGATCAAAATTATACATCTAAACACAATAAGCTCATGACCACAAATGAATACTTACAAGAGCTTTTTCTTTAGCCTACAGATATACTTTGAGTGTTTAATGATGTAAGCTCTCTTAAAAATAACGGTTGCAAAAAGGGGTTTTCGAACGATGCCATAGAAGAACGATTTTGGGTTCCCGAAAGAACCTTTCGGTGAAAACAAAAGTTCTTAAAGTTCTTAGTGTAAAGGGCATTTTAATAATCTGAAGAACACTTTTTACTATAAAGAACATTTTGTGAAATGGAAAGATTCCATGGATGCTAAAGGTTCTTCATGGACTGGAGCCAATAAAGTAGGCTATTTGCATAATTGGTTCTGAGAGGATTCATTTAAGCTGAAAAGAAGTAATTCTTATACATATTAAAACAAACAGATACCATTTTAGAAATAGATTCTTCTAAATGGATTATATAGCCTAATAGTTTTATTTTTCCTCTTTGAATATTTCTGTCTAAAGCCTGACAATGTGCCAAAGATTTCACCCCTTCATTGCCAGTTCATTGATGATTGAGCAGCTTGACTGTTCCTAGAACAGCTGAATAACGGAGAACACCAACCTGACAGACTTTTCCCGCCCGTGAACACATAACCTTAAACTTGCACTTCGAAACAGTTCAGGTTCAGTTATAAAACTAAAGAATGCAGATCTGCGAAGTCCCTCAGTAGGCCTATAGCATAACAACAACAACAACAACATTTCGTTTAAAAGACCAAGTTGAAACTCACCTTGACTCTCGTTTAGGAGAAATGAGTGTAAGGTTCTGGTTGTGCCCGTTCTTCTGTGTAAAGATGTGCTCCAAAAAGCGATTATAGGAGCTGGCACGTTCAGATGTGATGAGTAATCCAGGACCCCTTTACATTCACTGTATCATTTCTTATGACCTACAGCCACTTACAGGCGAGTTTTGACAAGACGAGGGGGGCTGTCACGTCATGAGACCCCTTGAGGCACTTTTATTTGTGAAAAAAGAATATTAAAATCATTAGAAAATAATCGCCTGGGAGAAAGTTATTTAAGAGGAATTTTGATGGTAAAGTTATGGCTTGAGGATAGATCACAACCTGTTCCATAAGTCTTGCTTCCACTGCATATGTCATGGCTATATAAGATGTGTACAGTATATTGGCTGGGGTCATGGGAATTATCCCTTGCCATAGTAAAATCACGAAGTCCCTACAAATTCCTCATTGAGCATCCAACCACTTGACAGTAATGATGACCATTTGCACTGCCGCAAACTGGAGTAAAAATGCCAAACCATAAAAAATGATGTCTAAAATGATTTTTGGCTGGATACTATGGACAATTGGATGTTGATGCTGGAGAGGATGTTCAGCATTAGAAATTTGTGCTTGTCCCTGAGGCTCTCTCTCTCTCTCTCTCTCTCTCTCTCTCTCTCTCTCTCGAACAGGTGCGAGGGAATACACACCTCAGTGATTCACCATGGAGTCATTTTATCAGTCGCTCATATCTGTCATTACATATTTGACATGCTCTGATGATGTGACTGATGGTTGTTGATTTACAGATTAAATATTCAGATTAAACTGATTGAATAAGTAAATCTTAGATTAAAGCATATTAAGAAATTTTACATTGTGTGTTGACCTTAGAATTGATTTATTTTATTTATTTATTAATTTTACCCATTTGTAACCCATACGAAAACTGCTCACTCTGAAGGATCTACTAATTTTTTTTTTTTTTTTTTAACTCACAGAAATATGGAAATTTCAATGTGTTTCTGGAAAAGTTTAATTTTGACAATTTTTACCAAAGAATAAAAAGAAAAACACTGAGTTTACTCAGGGTCTGTCTTGCAGGCCTATATGAAACTTGTATAATATCTCTCAATATTAATGGTAAGGCATGATCTTTAGACATCATTGACCATGCATTTAATTGTGTTTCTTTCAGTGAACAGAAATACACATTTTATAAATACACTGTGTAAGGAATGTATTTGAAAGGTTTCCATGCAAGTGCTGAATCAACAGTGTGTTTGAACATGTCCTAGACAGGTAAAAATGTCAGTTTTCTTCAATGCCTAAAGGTCTAAGTAAGCAAACTTTATTGGAAGCTTCAATCAAAAATTCTTCAGACAGCATTGTAAAAGCACCAGTAACTTATTAAAGAGCCAAGGAAAGTTAGTCGCTTTTCTTCTTTTACGTCTTCTTAGTGCTTAACATCCATTTGACCTTTATTTTTACCAACTCGTTGTACAGTACTTGATTTACTGTAAAGGAACGACAAGCAAAATTCCCTCAAGCCACAGGGTAGAAAATTTCACAGAAACAGTCAAGTTAAGGCAAAGCACCAACCCTGACCAGAGGCCTACACAATTTCACTGAAACTGGACGAAATCAGAGATGAACATAAAACACGAAAGAGTCATCAGACTCATCACATATTTGACATGTTAGGGTCTGTGCGATGCCATTTCTAAATGTGACCTGATACTGTAACTTTTCTTGACACTCAAAACTTTTTAACAATTAAAAAACCCAATATAAAAAATGATTGCTCAATAATGCTTAGGGTGATATCAGGTAAAATGGGCCATTTGAGGTTTGGGGGTGCCAGCCCCTCTGGAATTTAGAGCCAATGACTGCAAAGGATTTCAAACTGTTGTCATAACTGTGCTTGAGAAGTAACAGGTGATTTGATTGGTTAATGGTTGCTGTGGTGGGCGGGGGGATAATTCAAATCAAGACTACACCAGAAAGCTGCATGCTAAGTAGCCTGGCATACCAAATCTAACTAAACTATTATAGTTTTTCTTGGCGGCCCAATTTACCTTAACCCACTGAGGTAAAATGGCCAACATGGTTTCAGCTAAAATGGGCAATCATCTGTGTCACTCACAAACACACAAATATTTGTTTTTAAATGGCACATATGAATAATATGTATTTGTTTAAGGCAGTTTAAATGTTATCTGTATAAGAAATTGTGTTTTAAAATTAAAATTGATGATAAATTGCTATTTCAATTTGCAGTTTGACTGGCCCATTTTACCTGAACAGCTGGCCCATTTTACCTGAAACGGCTCATGCAAAAAAAGTTGGCACATCTGATGTTTCAAGAACTGTAGGGCCTAAATAATTATATTTCATTACATAATTTCAACACAAAATTATCAAAAAAAAAGTTAATTATTAATCATGAAAACATATGGAAAATGCATATATGGTGTATTATTGTCCCAAACGATTTACCAAAGAGTGGCCCAATTCAGCTGATATTACCCTACATAAATAGCAGTATTGACAACTTAATGTTCAAGCCCACCAGAAAGAAATGATATACGAAAAAGCAGCAAATAAATATATACTGTAGGAAAAACTATAAAATATACAAAGGGATTATACAGTTGTATTCACACATTTTGTATGCAAATCTTTCAAATTATATAAAAGTGAAGAAAAAAAATTGGGATTATTATTTAGTAGCACAGAACATAATCAGTGCCAGAGCAGGTGATATTTATTGGTTTATTCCAATGCTGAGGTTATAAAACAAACATGCAGAGTAGAGTATGATGCCAATATCACTCATCACTTTATCAGCCAAACACTGCAAACATCATCAAGTGGTTTTGCATGGGCAAACATAACTCAAAATAGCTATATAGTTGCAATACTGATAGACTTTTATTCTTATACTAAAACTCTAATTTGTCTTTCTTTCTAAACATGTTGCATGTAACTGTGGATCTCAGTTGAACGGTCAGTGTTAAGTGTGTAGTCACACCTGTGGTCTCGCTGGTTGACAAGAAATGTTTTTGAAGGCTTGCATGTTAGCATTCCAAAGAATACTTTCAAGAATGTTTCTAAAATTTAGGAGATTTTTTTTTTTTTTTTTTTACCTGTCAGGATATATAAAAAAATGCTTTTCAAATAATTCCCTTTCCAGTGAAGACCTTATCATTCCGCACAAGACCGCACCTGTTGTGTTATATCATTCCTGACACCAGATAGACGCTGAAGAGTCATCACTGATGAATCAGGGTACATGTGGTTCCAGGGGAAGTTAAAGTTGTGGATTGTAAATGCGTCTCTATAGCACGCATCGTGTTTTATCGTGCAATTTATACGCGAAAATGAATTTTTACGTGCATATGATACGCAGTTTTCGCGTGCATTTGATATGCAGTTCATTTGCGTGTAATACACACGCACCCCACCACTAATTCTACCCAAACGTATAATACACACGCACCCCACCACTACTAAACCTACCCTAACCAACCCATGCGTATCCCATGCACGTAAAAACTCATTTTGGCGTATAAATTGCACGATAAACACACTGCGTGCTATAGAGACGTGTTTAATGTGATCGGGTTGAAATACAGCATGTTGTTTTTCTGCCAAACGCAGTAGGCCTATGCAAATAAGTGCCTCTAGGTCTTTTAAATAGTGTTGCAATTAAATGGAATTTTTAATGGCAGCCTTGGATAAACATTTCTGTAAATCAAATTTGTCAGTGTTGAGTGAGGTATGAGGCAAGGACTCAAGATGCAAGAAACAATGGGCTTTTTATTAATAACAAAATTACCCTGTGTGGAAAACATGACCAGCAGCTTGACAATAATAACTAAGACAATAAACAATAAAAATGCACAAATACCTTCAGTAAACAACATATAGGCTAATACAACTTTACAACACTTTAGAATAAGTATAAAGTAACAAAGCACTTATAAATAATTCGCAAACTATTAGTTTACAGTTAATTAATAGTTTATAAACACATAATTGGGTTTCCGTGTTTTACGGAGACTTTCCATAAAAATAATGATTTTTATATTGTTAACAACATGACTAAATGAGTATTTTGTATGTATTCATTTCATATTGACAACATTATGTTATTTTTTTAAGTGGTTATGTTTAGCTTTGGAGATAGACTTGTATAGACTTGAGATAGAATGTATTTGTAAACATTTTAAGGAACTCTTAATACTAATTCATGTCCAATAAAGGTGTCCAATAAAGTGTCCTACTGTAATCCAAAGTGAGAACAATTTACGGTTAATAAGTTGTTAACAAAGCATTATCTAACTCTTTACATATGAGCTAATTAAACAATAATAATTTGTTAAATACACTGACAATGAATGAAGAACTCACTGTTTATATAGAGTCTGTTAATATATTAACCGTTTGCAACTGATTTGTAAATGCGTTATTACTGTATACTTATTATAAAGTGTTACCAGTTATTTAAGCATCTGAAAGTTAATAGTCACTGTTAATGAGGTCCAGGAGGACTAGATTAAATGCAAATTAAAAATAAAAAGTTTTAAAAATTAAAATTTGCCATAATAGATCTACAGATGTAGATTTCATGAATGCATACTTCTAAACCTAAAACATATTAGGCCTATATGTGTCTGGGCTTGATCCACAAGCTTTTTGCATAGTTGTACAGGCTAGTAAATGCCATACAGAGGGGAAGTATTAATCATAGCTGACAGACTGAAGCATTAATCACTCTAATCAACCTTATAGCTTATAGTTATCGAGTGACATGAGAAATACAGGTGTTTTCACTAAGGAAAATTGTTGCACTTGCGTTACCCCCCTGATTAGAGATGTTGATGTGCTGGCTTAAAATAAGTTGATTCTATGATGTATGATGATGAGCTTAACCAGCACCAGTTTGATAAATATTACAACTTACATTTGTAAGAAAAAAGAGGGGAACAGAATCCTGTGTCTAGCAATCGATATGTCGGAATGCGTTCCCCGAACCCCTAGAGGTACTAATGTTTATCAAACTGATGCTGGATAAGCTTCATCCACACATAGAATCAGCTTCTTTTAAGCCACTACTACGT